TTGTGATCTGATCCCTGAGTAATCTGACATCCTCTGTGATCTGATCTCTAGAGTAATCTGACATCGTCTGTGATCTGATCCCTGAGTAATCTGACATCCTCTGTGATCTGATCCCTGAGTAATCTGACATCCTCTGTGATCTGATCCCTGAGTAATCTGACATCCTCTGTGATCTGATCCCTGAGTAATCTGATATCACTCATAATCCAATATAATGCTTTAATATTGGACCATTTTTTGTTGTGACATTAGCTAGACAGTTCTTGACTGATATTTGGTATGCCCTAACCTTTACTGTGATGACCCACAATTACTGACATCCTGTTATGGTCCCACATGTGGGTATGTCTAAAGTGTTTGGTTCCTGTCTGTCTTTGCTGTATCATGATACTGTGAAAAACTCCCTAATTCTAGACTGGCTGTCTCCATGGTGACTTCTTACTAGATTTTGTTTGAGTACCCTCATGTGATCAGAGCTATATTGGGCTGAGAGAAACGGTTTCTGTGGGGTTATATATGTATTTGACAAGTATAATTATCTGGAGAGTAACTCTCATGCTATAGAGATATATGTAGAGGTAGAATTTACTCTCCAACCTTATCAAAGTATTTACTGCACCAAAATAAGTAAGAGATAAGCAGAATCTTAAAAAATTAACACTTCCCCAACAGGAATGTTGGCGCTGCTGGTGTGATGATAATTAACGATAACCTTGTTAATGACTCGTAATCTTATTAGTTCTGTAGCAATCTCATTACCATTCTAATCTTCTGTTTCAGTGACTCACAATACTTGTTTTAGAACAACATAATCTTTAAAAAACATTGTTTATATACATGTAGTGATAATTAGTTGTGCTGTTTGTACTTTTCCATTGGAAAAACACATCCATAAAATAATTTATATTTATAATTTGTGGTATATATACATATTTTGAAAAAAAAAATCACACCACAAAGTGCAATTCTGTATCTACAAATGTAACTTAGATAACGTGGACTTTTTCAATAAATAATTTAAATGTATCAGATTGCCTGTTGTAAAGTGATATTATATTAAGTAAAAAATGTTACATCTTTTATCAATTGTGTTTTTGACATTCTTTAGACCTTACTCACACCAGTTCCTGGGGATACTGTAGTTATAGCAGGTGCCCTCATTAAATATAATCCTGTAGTCACTAGTTCTAAAATCACCATTGACCTGAAAGTAATGAAATAAATAGTGAATCCTGAAAATAATGAATGACTTGTAAAGTTATGTATGTACATGCCTGGTATTCTGCCTATCATGAATCACACAATATTCTCAAAAAACATTTTGATGGTACAATATCCCCCCCCCCCCCCATCCCCCAAGTTATTAAGAGCTTTTTGTGGAAAGATTTATGAATAATGTACAGATATGCATTACTAAAATGTTTACACACATTTTTTTTAATACAACCATCCCTGAAAGGGAAAGAATTTGAAACTTTACAAAGAACGAGAAATTTAATAAAACTACATGATTCCAGATAATTTGATAGGATAACACTTAAAATAAATATTTTGCCACTTGCCAACAGCTGAATTCCTAGTAAATCTGTAATTTTTGAGATATGCCATCACTTAGGAAATGTGGACATTTTTAATTTTTAAAGATGGCAATTCCATCAGTCCACCTTCACCTTATAACCCACCACTCTATCTGCCTTGATCTTTCCAAACACTTCCTCCTCTTCTTCCTCCTTCACCTTCCAATCTCTACACCAAGTCCCTGCAGGATCTCCAGTATTACTCACCTCACCCTCCACCCTGTTTTCAGGATGGCGGTTTTGAGTTTGAATTGACAGGATGTTGGGTTCTATTATTCCTTCCCCCTGTCCAGCTAACATCCCCTCCCCTGTATGAGTTGTCAGGATGGTGGGTGCTACCACTTCCTCCCCTTTCTCCCTGTCCAGATAACATCCCCCAAGTATGAGTTGTCAGGATGGTGGGTTCCATCATTTCCTCTCTTTCCCACTGTCCAGATAACCCCCCATCCTCCCCAGTTTGAGATGTCAGGATGGCGGTCTGCCATGCATGCCTCACCTGTACTGCTTTACTAACAATATATATATATGCACAGAAGGGCAATAATGTTTTTATTGTGTAAATTGTGAACATGCGTAGCCGCTTTAGGGAGTAAGTAAGGATCCACATGACAGTGCGTTTGAGCTCTGGACAGTGTCAGGTACTGGATGCAGCTGCAAACTGGTTATAAAGAATGTTTATCACCAAAAATCAGCCAAACTACAACACATCCGACAAAGCTATGGCAGTTAGATAGGCCTACAGGGGCTAGTTCTGGTAACCAGCATGCATATCAATGAGTGAAGGGAAACTTTTAATGTCAAAACAGTTAAGTTTGTATTGTTAAATGGAGACAGACCTGTATTGAGTCTGTATTTAAACTGTTATCCCTCATCAATTGATGCCTTAGAACTGTGTGATGATTCTAAAAGTGAAACAGGATTGTATCTAAAATTCATGATTTTACTGCTATACGGTAGATGTTTAAAAACATGGAAATTGTTTGGTTTTTATTATTATTTTACAGAACTTTACACTATACCAGTTGATATGGAAAGTGAATTATTTTTGCTACCATACATAACTTGTTCTGTAATTTAAGATTTTGGCAAATATGTTATTTTAACTGAATATAAAAAATGTATATCATCATTATTGGATATACACTATATTAGTTCTTGTTTAAAGCTCTTAAAAATTATAACTTCAAGACACATTTCATAAAATCATAGAAGATGAAAAGAAAAGTTACCCTAATCGCATAATTAAAAAAAGTTACCTTTTGACAGGTGTACAAAATCAAATGCAGTCAATTGTCACACCATTTCTAGTTAAAGATGTAACGTCATTATCCATATTATGACGTCACCATTGATTTCTGACTGGTGCGAAGCCACTCCAAGGTATATTACACAAGGAACACACACCTCATAGATCTGTAACATGAAGGTCAAGGTCATACCAAGTCTTTAAACTCATTAAAATACCTGTCCAGTCCAAGATGTTCCTGTATGTAACCATATATAAGTCTAGTCCATTACCTTTGTCTGAAACTTAGGGGGTGGGCTTATTTCAGGTCAATGAAATAATACGTTTTTGATAGGAATGGGCTAATTAGAGCTTATCAAGCCAATCAAGTGAATTGATACAGCAAAAACAAAAATCTGTTTAATCAACATATTAGCTTTATCTACTAGATAAAGCAAGTTTATCTCCTAGATAAAGCAAGTTTATCCTCTAGATAAAGCAACCTAGATAAAGCAAGCTAATCCTCTAAATAAAGCAAGTTTATCCCCTAGATAAAGCAAGTTTATCAAACCTGTCAATCAATACTGTCACCATATTGTGGTGTGAGGAGGAGGCTGTTTAAGGAATTAGGATAATTATGTTGAAGGCTTAATTCAATTGTAACAGAGAAACCTTACCAGGATCTTTTTTGTTTATTCTGTATTTAAATAGCAAGGTGTCCCAGGAGTATACTTAATAGCAAAGTATTCTTAACAGGTAGACAGTTATGTGAACTGTTTATAGAAAATTTATAAAATGCATGCTGCATTGTTTATCCAATAGCTGTCATATCTCAATAACAAATACAGACCATACCGGAACCGTGACTGTGACTGCCACGACTGGTGAATGAAAGGACCAGATTATTGATGTGGTATCAGGGGGGCTGCATACGATTGTGACACACTTAGTCTCAGATCAGACTACACTTTAGACATTAACTCGCTAAAGGTTGGATACAACAGAAAAATATTATGTTCCATTGTCTCGCATCTTGGTTATTGATCTGGTTATGATTCCAACCTACAAAGACGAAGTCAGATTTAGCGGGATCCTTTTTTGTCATGTGACAGCATCAGATTTGATGATTTACCTGAACTAGTAAAATGGAGGTTGTTATGTTGTGACTGTGATTCCACAGCGTTAATGTTACTGATGAATTCCATGTCATTGATATCTGACTCGAGATCTATAAACGATATAAAAGATTCACTCAAGCACTAGTAGCAGCATTGGGACTTCTCTGTAGTGATGTATTCGATCACAGGATGTATGGGGTGTGCTGTTCCTATACCAGACTACAACCATTTAACTTTGACTGGTTGTAACTTACAGAGGAGAATACTTCCTAAGGCATTGATTGGGCCCCATCCACCATACAACAGATCAGTTCTTATACAGCTCCTGTAGAACATCACACATCATTCTAAATCATTACACCAAAGAGGATGGCTGTTATATCGGGTTGCTGGACTTCTATATTACTCGGGTTGCTGGACTTCTATATCACTCGACAGTACGGATATGTACTTTAAGATAAAATTCCTCCATCGCTGACACTGCTGTGCCTTCGGTGATGATACAAATTTGAAATGCTGGATTAGTAGTATTGATTGTACTTACAGTTACCTTTATCTATTACACAGGAACATGGACTTTTTTATTGATTTGTAATTGGTGTGATACCTTCGAAGATGTTGATTTTACCATTTTGTAAAAAATTTCTCCTCATCTGCTTTACCTGAACACTGTGTAACTGTAGTGATGTAAATGGAAGATGTGATGTCACTGAAAAAACTGTCCCTGACAAGCCTGCATTGCCCTGGGGTTCACCGCATACTAATCCATACCTATCAAGATAATGAAATTCCGACCCAGTAAATTCTCAGGATTTCCAATTACTGTAAGTAGTTAGTGGTCGTAGAATAGTTATGAAATGGGAGCTTCCACCTACAAAGACAAGGAGGATGAGCCTTTTAAGACATGGTGTCCGTACTACTACACTAGAGCACTTACATTAACATCAGAGCCTTACAGTAATACAACTCATTTGTGCTGAGGAATGCCATTCACCACAATGACTTAACTGCGGTCACTGTGTTAACTTGATGTGTGTGTGACACAGTCGTACTACAACATACCACAAGGAAACAGACAGGATGTCAGGAAAGCGTGTTCCAACCTCCTCTAGCTCAACATCTTATCAGCAGACAACTTCCTGTACAGTAGCAGAAGTTGGAGGTCTGGAGTCGTCGTCTGTCACTGAGTTAACAGAGGTCGCATCTGGCTACTCGCCTTATCCATCACCTGGTCAGTCACCTGGACATTCACCTGGGCTGTCCCCAGATCACAGGTCACGGTCATCTAACCAGGGTGTGTACCTGACCAGTACCCCCATTATGTCAACTTCATCTTCAGATGGTGAACCTATATTGTCATCTGCTTCAGCCATCATGTCACGTCACGAGAAAAAGAAGAAGAAGTGGTACAGACGTCTTGGACAGCAGGTGAAAAAGTCATTAGGTTCTAAAAGTGAACTAGTTACCAGACAGATGAGTAAGTCCGAGGAAGAATTGATTGTTGTGTCTGGTCAATCAGTCAGCCTGTCTTCCTCAGGTTTTAACTTTGGCCATGCTAATTCTATGGTAAACTTGACACAGAGAGTACCCGAAACACAGGAGTACCGGCGTACAACGCTACACGAACTACCAATGGACAGGTGCGCCTCTGATCAGTACCTTCTAAGAGGTAAGGATACACATCTCGAAACAAGGAGTCTCCCTACCATGAGTCCAAAACGTTTTCACCAACTTCAAGGCCAGAGTGACTTGTCATTGTCCACTCAGGACTCAGATCCTTCAGATATTGACAGTCGCTCAGATAACCTGGATGATGATTCGGCTATAAGTGTTACTAGTAGGATAATGTACTCATTGGCAGACAAGTCGGACTTTCAGGTACAGTATCATCAAAGTTTTATGTACGATATAACTTTAAAAAAAATAATGGGTAGATTTGTATACTTAGGCAAGACATATTTCTTATATAAGTGGGACCCAGATATCTTCATGCACATTAAATGCCAACAGATAGTCAGATACCTGCAAGATTGTTTGATTTTAAAGTAATGGTGGGACTATTAAACTCTGTCACAAACGATCAGTTTTAAGGTATGTCATGCCTGACATGCCTTCATTGTGTATAGTGTGTATATATGACATGTGTGTGAGGGCATCACTATTATCATTCTATATCATACCATTACAATGATAAAACTGAACAGTATATGTATAACTAACATTGTAATGTCCTTTTCCTAAGGTCCTGTATTGTTAAAAAGGACATTGTATGATACTGTTCGTAATTCTCAGCATGTATGGACTTTCTCAACCCATCCTAATCACCCACTTTTACTTCAACAAGGAAAGATGATCAAAAACTGCTTTATCATCTCAGGGCTTATGTTTAAGTTAATATCTTGACCTATTTAATTTTTTCCTTGTTACTGGTAACAACATTGACAGATTAAAACATATGTTAACAATGTAGTTTACACTGTATTGTTAAACAGATTAAACGGTTGAATCTCATTGTTCAAATAGTGCTTGTGCATAGTTTATACCTATTCACAAAATCTCCAGGGTAAATGACAAATTGTACAGTACATCTATAAACCTGTGTACATAATGAACAAGGTAAACATTTCATTGTTCAATCTCCCAGTGGTGTATTGACTCAAATAAATATTTCAAATTTTGATAATTTTTCTAATTAGTAAACAAATTGTTTATAGATATAATCAAAATTTAATGTTTTTATATACAGTATATGTAAAAATAATGATTTCAAATGATAATGATTTCTTGTCACACGTACAATTCTTTTAGATTAGTAGTCTATCATGTTTACAAAGTGGTTTTCACTTTAAAATGTTTTTTTTTATCTTTTTTAAATTTAGACAAAACAAAATAACAATTTTTTCTTGTAAGAATGGTAGATTTTCATCCCAATAAATGCAATATCTTTCATATTGTTTTCTTTCTGATAGCTTTGTAATCATTAAGTAATTCTGAATAAGTACAGGTGTGTTAGGTGTACATCAATGTATTTGATGCTGGGTGGGCCGACGGGGTTATTGATGGATCTAGAATCTTCAGAAGAGTAAGTCTGGATGATAGTATTAAATTTTAACTCAACATTTATTGGTATTGACCTCCAAATTATGTACCTGTGTGAATTAGTCATGGTCAGTAACCTGTAACTGAATTCTATACCTACTGACTTCATGGTTGACTGCCTACCATCCCTAGGGCGATGTACTGTGTCTTGTTATGACTGATGGAAAACTAACTGTATCTGAACTACTTTTTCTCACCAAATATTAAACTGTCATTACAGATGGTAGATGTGTAGTGTTATACACAAGATAAATATCACATTCAAACATTCACAGGAATCAGAAAAAACCTTCATTTAAATCATGAATTGTCCATACCTTACAGCTCAGTATAATATATAGTTATGCAGGGCTAATATTTTGTCCTGGTTCGAGCTACATATAGTTAACATGGATTAATCTGATTACTTTATAAGATTTTGATTATGATAAGATTTTGAAATGTTTGCTGGGTATGTAATTTCACATCGACCATGAACACAGCAGAATTGAATTCCTTGCAAGTATTAACAACTTAACAGTCAAATTCACCAAAGACACAAGACCTTAAGGTCTTAATGAATCCGTCTTATCCTGTATCCTGGCCATTCACTGACTATAACTTGTATTAACCTGTATCCTAACCATTCACTGACTATAACTTGTATTAACCTGTATCCTAACCATTCACTGACTATAACTTGTATTAACCTGTATCCTAACCATTCACTGACTATAACTTGTATTATCCTGTATCCTAACCATTCACTGACTATAACTTGTATTATCCTGTATCCTAACCATTCACAGTATAAAGTAAATATAGATTAATAATTAGAAGCTGTCAGGAATCACATAGTTTATTATCATTGGCATGATGATGAACTTGCTATGACCAACTCACCTCTATTCTTGCTCCAATCAACTGACCATCGGAAACAATTCCTTCACAGAATAGACCTATTATCAATACCAGTATGTTGTTCTCTAAACCCGATTGGTTCGTATAACTCCAATAGATGTTACTGTTCTGTATGCTAACCAGCCCTGAAACGATATTATCACGGGAGGGAGCAGGGTGGGGGGAGGGTTACTGGGAGGTGGAGGATGGGGTCGTGTTAACCAAATTTTAAGCTAACTAGCCATGAAGCATTGGACTTTGATCAACCCATAAAATAAATATTAGGCGCTGTAGTCCTGTAAGACCTAGGTCCTGTGTGGAAACACTTTCCCATCTAATGTCACAGTTCGCTATGGAGATTTTTTTCTCGGTATGCTGAATCCTCGCAGCTTCAGGTCAGAGACGACAACCGAGACACAAGGTGTCGAGACAACAGTCTTTTCTCATGGTTTTAAATGGATCTTTATATTTTTTGTATCTGTAGAAATATTATTGCTTTACAAACTGCTTATTTCTATCATGTTTCTTTGAGGTACTTATGGTATTTTCAGTCGTGCAACAAAATTATGTAATCTATGTATGTTAGTGAGTATATTAATAATGAAGGTTATATTGATTATAGCGTGAAGTTATGTTTTAGGATCAATGTTAAACATGCTTTGTAGCCCAACACTATTATATATACACTGAAATACATGTACAAGTCACGATATTCAGGTAATGAAATAATAGAACTTCCCTTGTGATCAGATTTACGTTTCATAAAAGTATCTGTTTCATATTGATGATTTTGATGATAAATTTGCGGAAGAGGAACCCTTGTTTGACGTATGGCAGCGATGGGAATGAATCAGAACGGGTGAACACCTGAGCTGTAATACAGTGCACATGGCCATTATTACTCTCATTATAATCTCTCAGACCTTCTTTTCCTTTTTTGGAGGGGGTGGGGTCAAACCCATGATCTAATAAAAGATGTAAATTCTGGGAGAAAGGATATTTAAATCACTTTATCTGTCAACTTTAGATATGTCTAAAAAAGTGTTTATTTTCACAGCGGAAAGTGATAGAGAATATGGCAGTGTGTATGGTCCTCTCTATAATTCTCTTTCAAGATATGTAATGATAGTCATAGACTCCTAATAGATATTTTGTCGGTTGGATTTTTATGTAAAAGAATAACTTTCTCATATCAACAAGAATAAAAAGGAGGAAACATAAGGAATAGAAACATAAGTTCAAGTTATGTTCACCCCTCCTCCTTCCCCACCCCCACCCTCCCCTCTCCTCACCCCCCATCAATATTATGGCTTTTGCCAGTTTTGATTTCACTCTAAAAGGTTATAATAACATTACCTGACTTTAAACTTTATGTTTTCCTGATTGACAAATTATGAAATAGTCAACAAAGGGAAAAACATTCTTGTTTTCATGATGGCTAAAAGCGTGCCTGGTAGTTAAGTAAAGGCTTCTGTTTGTGTGTAGTTTACACTCCGCTTTCCCTGTATCAAAATATTGATGGATTTTATCAGTTTCCAAACAAGAACTTCACTAAATGTGTTTCAGTCACGTCATATTGCCATTGCAAAGTTGAAAGTGAAGTTGATTAAAGTTTATGAACATGGTATGGGGAAGTTTCAGGAAATTTCCTTTGTTCTGATCAATACCTTAGGGACGTTATGATATTATTTCAGTAAATGTGTTGATAATTTTAGTAGTATTTGAGGAAAAATTAATGTTGAAAATTTGTCTTGTAAAATGATATGATATTAATGAATATTATTCCACACCATTAAATAATATTAACTGCAATTCAAGACTACCGTGATGTCAGTTATCATCACAAGCCAGGTCCTATATCAGTTCTCTCATATGGTGTGGTGATGTTTAGATAATTATGATAATTGTGAATATTAATTGATTACTAAAATCTCATATTTTAAATCATTGAGTTTGACATCTGAATTTTGCGTAGAAATTGAAAATGTACACCTCATAAAAATGATATGGCTTAAACTTAGTCTGAAGACGCTGGGTAGTGGAATTGTGCAACATATTGTTATGTTTGTGTAATATGTATTGCCATCAAATTATGTATGTATGATTAAAATGCTGTTGTAAGATTTGAATTGCACTGAGCTGATTTGTGAATCATGTACAGTAGAACAACATCATAGCCTTATAGATCAGTTCTTTCTACTGTAGACAGGTCAGTTCTCCTATAACTGTTGTCAGTTCTCATCATTATATTGCTGTACTGGTCTCAGAAAAGTCTCCTGATTTGATAGCTGGTACTGGTGAATACTTTTGTGTCCGTTTTCACTTTTCCTGCTGGGATGCATCATATTAAATTATTTCTAACAAGTATGGTCAAACAACGTTAGCCTCACATTTAAATGTCTAATTTGAAGGGCCAGAACACCAGAAGTATTGGTGATGTGATTATGACCAAATGTATTGGGATGAACCTCTCTGGTAGCTACGATGCAGACAGAATAACAATGAAACATAGACAGCTTCATTAAAGAAATAATTCAACTTTGTTTCTTGGCTACTTGGTTACAGAGAGAAGAAATATGTAGGCTTTGTTACAGAAAGACAAAATATTTTGGTTTTGCTATAGAAATATCTCAACTTCATTTCAGAGAGATCATAACTTATGATAGATATATCATAGTTGCAGTTTGGTATCGTGTCATGCCCTTGTGTATAATGCCACTTTGCATAGAATTATACACCTTTTTTATTTCCATCTGTATATAATAATTTCCCTTTGTACAGTGTAATATCCCTTCATATAGAGTTACATCCCTTTGAATAAAACTTATTTCTCTGTGTTTACATGGGAATATCCCTTTAAATAGAGTTACATCCTTTGTATAGAATTATGTTCCTTTGTAAAGTCCATTTGTAGAGTTATGTCCCTTTGTATAGAGTTATATCCCTTTGTATATAATTATTTCCCTTTGTACAGGGTAATGTCCCTTCATATAGCGTTACATCCCTTTGCATAGAGTTATGTCCCTTTGTATATAGTTATGTCTCTTTGCATAGAGTTATGTCCATTTGTGAAGTGTAATGTCCTTCTTAATAGAATAATGTCTTTTACTAATAAGAGATGTTCCCCAGTGTATAGTCGTGTCCTTTGTAAAAGGCTTTTGGATGATGTTTTTATTGATACAAAGAGGAGGTAAATCACCGATGGTCATCTATCGAGGTTTTGATGTATTGTCATCCCTTTTAAGAGCACTGTTACCAATGCCAACATTGTACCAGTGTGTTTTCCATTGTGTAAAAAAATTTGTTGTAACCTCCAGAACATCGCTATCTTCATATTATGAAATCTTGAAATTGTTATTCATGGCAGTTTGTAGTAGCCAATAGAAAGTTTGAAGTTCATGCTGAAGTTAAGGGTTTTAAATACATCTTCATGTCATACCTGTGTGTTTTATGATAATGTGACTTAATTAAATCAACACATGTATCACACATACTGGCTACAGCTGTACATTTGGCCCTTCTCACTCCTCGTGTGATTGCCCTGACCAGTTTTATAATACAGTCATGATTGTTATGGTAGACTGACCTCCTATCTCACCTCTTTTATCACACTGTTATGAGCATAATGAGGAGTGATATTTTCTTACTGTCTGTATAAGTAATGTGAGGTAAACTACCCCTTGAGGCTCATAATGCTGATCATGAAATAGCTGGATCACAATCTGCAAACCACTTCTTTTATTTGTCTTGTGTTTTTATGGACATACATCTTCACTTCTGAAGTGATATAAGAATTTTGTTTACCTGTGTGAGAACTGGATTCTTACATGTATATACACCAGGTAACTCAGGTGTGTACAACCAGGTGTGGACAGACGATATCGTGTTTTGACCCTGCTGATTGGAACTAGATTAGAATAATTAATTATTGTTTGTACGGCTGTATACTAACCTGTAGGGGCCTAGGTATACAGGTCAACTGCACTGGTACAGTGACGGACAAACAAGAGTCATGCTGATGAAGACATTCCACAAACTTAAACAGTTAATTCATGTTGTAAGTGACCCTTTTAAAACTTTCACCTACAGTAAGGATAAATTATGTAGTGCAATCATATTGAAATGTTTAGGTGTGGATTGGACATCTTGTATACAAGTTTTAGTACAGTCTGTTCCTAGTTCAGTATAAACATGTTTGCTTATCAGTGTCTCTGGTCCACCAGCTGGTAAGTCAAACCTGTCAACCCTCCATGTTCATATGAGTCTCTCTGACCTTCACCTTTAAATTATTGCATATTTGCAATATGCAAATATGTTGTCTATTTGGATTTTTTGGGGGGAGATTTAATGGTTTACTAGTTGGAATGCTTACAAGGTTTTGGTTTCAGCCTTCTTTAGTAAGATAAATACTGAAAAAGGCAGCTCTTACCTAGATGACATATATGTAGATGATTTGTCAGAACAATTTGTTCTAGTTCATCACATGCATTTCAAAGAGTTTCTTTGGATAATTTCTTTGGAGGGAAACTGTCCATGGACCTGTAGCTGGAAGGAAAGCTTTCCATAGATAACATCAAAATGTACAAAAGGAAAGGGCTTTCATCAATGATCCTGCAAAGACAAGTTTCTATGGATAACTTACCATATGGGAAGGAAGGGTGTCCATAGACAATTATCTAAAGATCGCAGTGGTTCAGGACAACATTGTATTAGTTCAAGACATGGTTGCAGTGGTTCAAGACAACATTGTATTAGTTGTTTTTGTTCATGACAATATTATTTTAGTTCATGAAAATGGTTGTTTGGTTCAAGACAAGGTTAATATGGTTCAAGACAATTAAAGTGGCTGTGGTTTAAGACAAGGTTAATGTGGTCTAGATTACTTTAATTATCGAGACAGAGGGTAAGTGTTCAACACAAGGTTCATGTGGTCTAGACAGATTACTTTAATTATCGAGACAGAGGGTAAGTGTTCAACACAAGGTTCATGTGGTCTAGACAGATTACAATTATCAAGACAGAGGGTAAGTGTTCAACACAAGGTTCATGTGGTCTAGACAGATTACTTTAATTATCAAGACAGAGGGTAAGTGTTCAACACAAGGTTCATGTGGTCTAGACAGATTACTTTAATTATCAAGACAGAGGGTAAGTGTTCAACACAAGGTTCATGTGGTCTAGACAGATTACTCTGATGACTTCTTACTGGCTATTAATCATGCTGTTTCTGTTTTTGTTTTGAATTATTTATATACAGAATATCTATCCTGCATAATGATGAATCACTGTCATTACAATTTGTCTTCATAAATATTCATAGAAGAGATTGAAATGATTTTCAGTTCTGAAAAGAAATATAAAAATGTCATATATAATATTTTTTTTATCTAGAGTTTCAGTGTGTCCAGCTAGAACTTTACAACATTTGTGTTATTGTTATACTCTCTGTGCTTCATCTTCCTCTGACATATGCTGTAAATTATTGATACTACCCGCAATACCTGTCTCACATAATGACATTCTACTTAAACACTGACTGGGGTTTTTGTCATTGCATATCAACATATGAAAATTGAAAATGCTTTAATTCAGTCCATGTCTGTAATATTCTCTGCATGCATGAATTGTCATTTTTATTTGGCTCGTACATAATCTGTAGATGATGGTTTAATTTCCTGTGAAATACCCATGATTAAAAGCAATCAATATTGCCCTGTTTTCATGCCCTCATAATGTTGGCTGCATTCTGATTTTCAGACAATGACTGTAATACATTTATGTTTCCATGACAACATACACAAACAATCCCGAGAGTAAACATCTTCTGAAAAGGAAATCAAAATCAATGATCGTCAGTTTATGATACTTTTATGTTGTAAAATGGAAGTAAAAAACAGCAGCATATTGCCAATGTCTGTGGTCTGTCTTTTTTCATTTTTCAGGAAAATTTTCAAAACCAGAATGATTTACAATTCGGTATTCTTCAAATTTATGCAAAAACCCTTTTTCAGATATATACAGGTTTCCATGACGATTCCATTTGTGTGTTATAATTATAGAGAGTTTAACAATTCAACACAACTACTCAGCCAAACATGCAAAACAACCTGCTGCTGTTTCTATTTTTTAATTGATCGACAAGTATTGCTAGTTTTGAATGTCACTACATTCCAAATTACAATAATATTTCTTTTACACAAGGAATATTATCAATTCAGATGTCTGAGAATTTATAAGCCCTGACTTGGTGTTAAGGATATCATTTCTAACCTTTTCTGTATACTTTTCAATGGCATTTGCACCATAGATATCTTAATGATTTAGATATACCATTGGCCCTCATATTTAGCTTATGAATTTCATTTTATATTTTTATAGGAACTAAACATCAGACAGAGACAGCAGGCTTTGATGCAACATTCCTTCTTTGTACTAGAAGTGTGGCTACGGGAAGGTCGTGACCTGGTAGTTAGGGACAGCTGTGGTAAGTGTGGGTGTAGTTACAGGAAGGTCATGGCCTGGTAGTTAGGGACAGCTGTGGTAAGTGTGGTGTAGTTACAGGAAGGTCATGGCCTGGTAGTTAGGGACAGCTGTGGTAAGTGTGGGTGTAGTTACAGGAAGGTCATGGCCTGGTAGTTAGGGACAGCTGTGGTAAGTGTGGGTGTGGTTACAGGAAGGTCATGGCCTGGTAGTTAGGGACAGCTGTGGTAAGTGTGGTGTAGTTACAGGAAGGTCATGACCTGGTAGTTAGGGACAGCTGTGGTAAGTGTGGTGTAGTTACAGGAAGGTCATGACCTGGTAGTTAGGGACAGCTGTGGTAAGTGTGGTGTAGTTACAGGAAGGTCATGGCCTGGTAGTTAGGGACAGCTGTGGTAAGAGTGGTGTAGTTACAGGAAGGTCATGACCTGGTAGTTAGGGACAGCTGTGGTAAGTGTGGGTGTAGTTACAGGAAGGTCATGGCCTGGTAGTTAGGGACAGCTGTGGTAAGTGTGGTGTAGTTACAGGAAGGTCATGGCCTGGTAGTTAGGGACAGCTGTGGTAAGTGTGGGTGTAGTTACAGGAAGGTCATGGCCTGGTAGTTAGGGACAGCTGTGGTAAGTGTGGTGTAGTTACAGGAAGGTCATGGCCTGGTAGTTAGGGACAGCTGTGGTAAGTGTGGTGTAGTTACAGGAAGGTCATGACCTGGTAGTTAGGGACAGCTGTGGTAAGTGTGGTGTAGTTACAGGAAGGTCATGACCTGGTAGTTAGGGACAGCTGTGGTAAGTGTGGTGTAGTTACAGGAAGGTCGTGACCTGGTAGTTAGGGACAGCTGTGGTAAGTGTGGTGTAGTTACAGGAAGGTCATGGCCTGGTAGTTAGGGACAGCTGTGGTAAGTGTGGGTGTAGTTACAGGAAGGTCATGGCCTGGTAGTTAGGGACAGCTGTGGTAAGTGTGGGTGTAGTTACAGGAAGGTCATGGCCTGGTAGTTAGGGACAGCTGTGGTAAGTGTGGGTGTAGTTACAGGAAGGTCATGGCCTGGTAGTTAGGGACAGCTGTGGTAAGTGTGGGTGTAGTTACAGGAAGGTCATGGCCTGGTAGTTAGGGACAGCTGTGGTAAGTGTGGTGTAGTTACAGGAAGGTCATGGCCTGGTAGTTAGGGACAGCTGTGGTAAGTGTGGGTGTAGTTACAGGAAGGTCATGGCCTGGTAGTTAGGGACAGCTGTGGTAAGTGTGGTGTAGTTACAGGAAGGTCATGGCCTGGTAGTTAGGGATAGATGTCGAAAGTTTAGATGTTTACTATGGAAAAATCATAACTTGGTAGTAAGGGAGTATTGTGGTAGGTCTGGATGAGTTATTACAATAAAGTTCTGACCTTGAAGTCATAGACGGCTGTGGTAAGTGTGGATTAATGGCTATGGGGAGGTCATGACCTGGTATTTATGGACAGCTGTGGTAAGTCAGGATGTGTGGCTAAAGGAAGGTTGTGACCTGGTAGTTAGGGAAAACTGTGGTAAGTGTGGGTGTGGCTACAGGAAGGTCATGACCTGGTAGTCAGGGAAAACTGTGGTAAGTGTGGGTGTGGCTACAGGAAGGTCATGACCTGGTATTTATGGACAGCTGTGGTAAGTCAGGATGTGTGGCTAAAGGAAGGTTGTGACCTGGTAGTTAGGGAAAACTGTGGTAAGTGTGGGTGTGGCTACAGGAAGGTCATGACCTGGTAGTCAGGGAAAACTGTGGTAAGTGTGGGTGTGGCTACAGGAAGGTCATGACCTGGTAGTCAGGGAAAACTGTGGTAAGTAAGGATGTGTGGCTAAAGGAAGGTTGTGACCTGGTAGTTAGGGAAAACTGTGGTAAGTGTGGGTGTGGCTACAGGAAGGTAATGACCTGGTAGTTAGGGAAAACTGTGGTAAGTCAGGATGTAGAACTATGTGAAGGTTATGACCTAGTAGTTAGGGACAGCTGTGGTAGGTCAGGATGTAGGACTATATAAAGGTTACAACCTGGTAGTTAGGGACAGCTGTAGTTAGTCAGGATGTAGGACTATATGAAGGTTACGACCTGGTAGTTAGGGACATCTGTGGTAAGTCTTGATGTAGGACTATATGAAGGTTACGACCTGGTAGTTAGGGACAGCTGTGGTAAGTCTTGATGTGGGACTATGTGAAGGTTACAACCTGGTAGTTAGGGACAGCTGTGGTAGGTCTGTATGTAGGACTATATAAAGGTTATGACCTGGTAGTTAGGGACAGCTGTGGTAGGTCTGTATGTAGGACTATATAAAGGTTATGACCTGGTAGTTAGGGACTGCTGTGGTAGGTCTTGATGTGTGGCCTCTATAATTTATTCGCATATTGCCTTAAGGTTTTTAACTAAAAAATCCCAGAAAAATAGAACAAGAGACATGGAGACATAGCAACAGCCCCAGAATGAGACTTGATTGTGTGTGAGTGACAGAGATGAGAAGTGGTATTGATGGAGATCAGTGTGAAACCGCTACACACCATTTCTTTATCATTCGAGTGTTCACTTGTACCAATTTGTTAAAACCATCAGTCTGAGCTCAGTATTATGTTCTGAAGCCTGATAAATGTAGGAAAATTTAGTTTTGAGATTGAAACTGACACCAAAACTAATGTTGTATTGAAAGAAAGTACCTACTGTAGTGTTTACATTTGAAGGGAATATTTTGTTTAATTGATTTCATGTATTGTAGTATGGTAAGATCTGATACCTAGAATGTCTCTACAATCATACAGAGTTTTCTTTCCAGATAATGGGGTATACTTCAATTTAAGAGAATTGAATTTTGCTCTTGTATTAAATATTGTCTAAGAAACCCCACAAAAATCAATATTTTACAAAATTTAAAAAAACTGCATTTAATGTCTAGAGTAAAAAATTGTTGTAATGATGAAAAATTGTAACTCCTTTTCTTGTTTATTAAAAGATGTGAAATAAATTGTTTTTATTATTTAGATCATTATTGAAGAAATTGTAAATTCCATTGCTAGCACCCCATGAGAAATAGAATTGAGCAATCACCATAAAGCCAGGCTGCTCCGACTTGGCAGTACTAAGTTAACTTAGCATACCTCCACAGCTATAAAACACATCAAGGTATATCAATCCCACCATTGGATCTACTAATCAGTCTGCTGACAGACTTGATCTAATTGAATTTTCTACCAAATGACTTGACATATCAATAATGATCTCCTGAGCCAACTCCTGGTACGATTACTTTTCAGCACGCGTGTGACAGGAAAATTGTTAAATTCTGAGCTATTTGTTATTGAAGCACTCTCCTCACCGTGTCAGACTCCGTAGGCGGGAACCTCCATGTTCAATTACAACAAACAATAGGGTTCTGTATATGTCTGTTTGTACTGATGTTGTTGAAATATTATGAAAATTGTGTTAGTGATTATGACAAGCATTGTACGTGACAGTTCATTAGTGTTGTAATGTTTATAGAAAATGTTTTCCGTCATATCTGTCTGAGGTTCATGTTTTATGAAAACTTAGGAAAAGGTTACCTGCGAACAAATGAAATTTCCCACATATACTCCTTGGTTTGGGTGAATAAATTTGTCGTAGTGTCTGATTATTTACATAATTTATAAAATATTCTAGGTATATTTTGGGTTTCCATTGGCCTGATTTTCAACCATACTGTTACAAATATGAAATTTGTTTGGTAATTTGACAAATCTTACATGAAATTTTTGAATAAGTATCTAGAGGAAAAATATAAAAACAAGGTAAGATTTACATTACCATTATGAATCAATTTTCTACCTAAAATTCCCAGTGCCTACAGACCATTGGTGTTTGTGATTTTCAATGTGACTCCCCTTTAACATAGGTACTAGCCACAGGTTGGTGGTTCATCTCTAGGCACAAGGAGTTTCCTCCACCGTCCAAACCTGGCACATACTTAAATGATCCTGGCTGTTAATAGGATGTAAAGCAGCAATAAACAAAGTTACCAAATGTTGCTGGTTAACCTGTTATTATATGCTGTGCTGCAAGAATTCTGTGCAATATTTAGGTGCCTTGATTAGCGTCTGATAATCTGTAGATACCTATTAAATCTGATATGAGATATAGCATTATATCCCCTACAGCAATCATACCACAATATTATATTAATCCTCTTGAGGATGTTCAGGGCACAGTTCTCATTGCAAATATCTCTTTTTTTGATAATGTCATGCTGGTATAATACTTTCCTGTCTGTAGTGAAGATGTTTTGTAGGGGTCAATATTAATTTATTTCATTTGACCTTACAGGTACCAGTGACCCTTATGTAAAGTTCAAAGTCGGCAGCAAGCAACACTACAAATCTAAGACTGTGTACAAGAACTTAAATCCCCAGTGGGATGAACGCCTATCCATTCCAATAGAGGATGTGTACCGACCAGTCAATGTCAAAGTGTTTGATTATGACAGAGGCATTAGTGACGACCCCATGGGGTCAGCCGAGATTGATCTCACCACACTGGAACTCAATACGTAAGTACCCTTAGTGATACGTAAAAAAAGGTAATTGATATTGATTCATTGATTGACATTAGCTGTGGCTGCGTAGATATCACATAAGTTTTACCTCGATCAATATTCGCACTAACTGTCAAACTTGCACCATAACCTTTCTTACTGAATTTGGCCTTGACATTTTGAAAAAACCATTAGCACTTTTAACCTTTGACACTTTTATTGATTTTACAAAAAATACAAACCAAGGTACCTGCTTATATAAATCACTCTTCTGTGTCCTGTTGGGAGGGATTGCTAGAGGGGTTTTGCTGTGGGAGGAATCTAAATGCCCAGGTGACCCCCATAAAGACAAGTGCATTACCACTGCACTACCCACCCCAAACTTGATGTACAGCTACCCAAACAGTGGTTATTTTTTATCATTCAGTTCAACCTTTATTTCTCTTAGACCTTTCATATGACAGATAATTGTCCAGGATATCAAACCTTGCCCATTGAGGAGTCTAGATTATTTTTCACCCTTAAAAACCAGACTAATATTACTGTAATTATTTCTCTGCTAACTACATATACAGGAACTACTGTGTATATTCATATCGATATAATGGATCTATACAATTTCCTGATCTCAGTTACAGACATATTTATCAACCAGAACAGAATCCTATTTACTTTGAAGTCAAGAGCTGTTAAGGTTTGGGTGACAAAATGCCAGAAATCATTTTCAGATCTCAACAATAGTGTATTTTTTTCATCAAAAGAACATAAAACACAGCTGAATCAGTGTTTAAATTCTGATTAACAAAATCAAAGTTGTGATGAAACATTAGATAATTTCGTTTGTTTGTATCACCCAGAGAACAGCCAAGCAGTCTCTTTGTAGTAGGTGATGGCTACTTTATTGAACAACATACAGGAGGCCCATCGTACGCTGTCCTGAACAACTTTGCGTGTCTTGCACAAAGACACCACTCCAACATCACAGTCAGGCCTGTTTCCTGAGAAACATAAACTGAAAATAAATACAAAAGTCTTTGTGTAGTAGATTAAAGGTATTTTTCTAGTTTGAACCTTTTAAGGAAGATAACATAAAGACTGTTCAGTGGCTTTCTCATATGGCAATATTTTGTTCTTCATTCGTAATGATGATTGTTAGCTCATCATCTTTAGATGGTTGACTGATCAATTTATCCTTTGTCTGTGGTCACAATTCTGTTCTTCAAACCATTACTGTTATTTCTTGAGAAGTGCTGAAAGTTTCATATGTTCTCTTTGATCCATAGTTAAGGGTTGAGCAGATCATATTTACAAAATGGCCGACATGGAATTGGTTGCCAAGATTTCTCTGTAACCTTTGCATTGTTCTGTATCCTTTTCAGGAGGCTGTCTTGGACTTGAATATTGTTATCACTATTTCTCATAAAGTGCTGCACATCAATATTTCTCAATTGCATAATATGTACCGATAAGTTATTTTTGGTAACAGTACTTAATCGTGCAAGCAAAATGGCTGACATGCTGTGTTGCAATCTGATTTCATAGTTTAGGTACACTGATCCTTCTAGATATCTTTCATTCAGTGTCATATTTCCTGAAAACTCTGTTACAGTAGACATTGCAATCACGTTTTGGTCTTGTGTTGATTCCCCACATCTGACTGTTACACACTCGTCTCCTATACTTTCTGTGTCTCCAGCCGTTTTCCACCTCACATTACTGTGGTTTTGTTAGAAATAAGAAGGCATAAAAGTTCTGCTGTTTGGTCTAGCAGAAATGTCAATATTGTACACTAATGTATCAGGAATGTTTGTCATGCTGTCCCCGTTGTGACCTTAATAGTGAGTTACAATCTACAATAATGGCATTATCTGGCCTAGCCATTCTTTGTCGTATTTCTCTGGTTGGCCGTCATCTGTGCAGATTTTCTGTCAGAACAAGGGTTTGTAAAGTGCTAGATCAGCATATCAGGGACTAAAGTCCTTCTGGATTAAACTACACTTGACATTTTAGTATCTGAGAGGCGGAATACTCAGCCAAATCTGTTATTGCACTAATGGTGATTTTAGATGGAGAGAGCGTTAGTGAAGAAAAAGTCACACATAGCATTTTGTTGCTAACATGATAGATTTGGTTCCAGGTCATGAGGTGTTCAAGACGACAATTTATAGTTTCTTCTGTTCTAGACATTCTTAAAGCTTCCAATTCTTAACCTGAACTGAGGTAAGCTGGTGCGGAATACAATCTGCCATAATAAGTTGTATGATTCTCATTAAATTTTCAATTATTTATGAGAAGCCCAGTATATCAAAGTGTCCTAATATTTTAAACTGTATGCAAGTTATCCAAGTTTCCTTTAATTTGGTTTGATATGCATAGAGTTGTTCCCAATCATGTACATGAAATGAGATCAGGTGTTCAGATGTAGATAGGACGTCGCTCTCAGGGACAAAACGATAACTCAAAGCTCCAGCTGGGATTTCTGTGCAAATTATTGATTAGATTCTGGCAGTTGATTGGTGCCTGTCAGTAGTGATCTAAATATATCTCAATTTCTGATTGGTTTAAACATTTCATTACTGCATGTGTATATATATATATATATGTATCGCAAGGACAGACAGTTTAAACATTTTATTACTATATGTTTATTACAAGGACGGGTTAAAGTATACCCAGAAGAGTAAAAAGGAATATTTTTGACATTTCAAATACAAATGTAGCTAAGATTTTTCTCTCAAATTGACTTGTAGCATCTTTGCTACTTACAGTAGGTATTATAGATTGTGGGTATAGAAAGTTAAAATGTTAGGTGCATTTTCTTCTATTTGAAATAGGGTTTTATAATATGTTTAAGAAAAATACAAATTTCTCTGCTTCTTTCGTCCAAATGTGATTGATTAAACTTCAGCCTTAAATGTTTGGCAGACAGACGAAAGAAAACAATTACTTTGTGACTAGATAAGTCTGTTTACATAAGTGTTTTGGCTGGAATATTGCTCATGTAAAATTTAATTATAAACTAGCATTTGACCTGTCTGGATGGTGAAAAAGAGAGACAGAAAAAACCCCTTAAAATAGCCTGAATTCTTAAAAATCAAACTCCTTTTGTAGAAATGAATGGATATTGCCCAAATTTGGTCTGAAGCATTTTTCAGTGAATGGGAATCAATTTTGTATAAACAGTGAGTGTTGGCCCCCTGAGATGGAAGGAGCAGAACCCTATATTGGAAAAAGAGCAAATTCTTTTAAAATCCTAATCCTCCGGTAGGAATGATGGAATTTTGCTCAAATTTTCTCGAAAGCATTCTTGGACAATGAATCTCGGCCTTCTGTGATGGAAAAGACAGGGCTCAATAGGGGAAATAGAACAATCTCTTTAAAACCCTTCTCCTGCAGGAATAGCAGGATGTTGTCTGAATTTGGTCCGAAGGATGTATTGAATGGTTTCGCAGTTATGTGGCTATTTAGAATTCCATTTCCTTTAAATTTGATAAAGCAATTTCAGAGAATCAAAGCTAGGTGAGCGATATTGGCCCTATGGACTTCTTGTTTAAGTGTTGATTTTGTTTTGAATTCTCTTGTTTTTTCAGTTGCTTCATTTATTTCATTTTCACTGACCACTGTTTAACTCTAACCAAGCTTTGAGCAACTTGTGCCAGAATTTTCTTGTCCCCTTTGGGATGACTTGGTTAGCATTGATTCTGCTTTTTGTATTGATTAACCATTTGACCTTGACCTCATTGTCTGAAGGGGATGTTTTAATTATTTCCTGTCTGGTGTATGATTTATGTTAGATTGGACAGTACGTAGTCTGGTCTCTACTCAACAAACATCGCTCAAGTTGATTTCTACCATTGGGAGTTGTCACTAATGTCTGCCTGTCACCTCAGGTTTTCCAAACTGTTCTTTCTTATTAAGAAATATTTATAATATTTACAAATATATATTTTTTCTGAAGGCTGTGTAGCACCAAAACTGTCACTGACAAATGGATTTGTCTGTTTATTGAGTCAGAAACTGAGCATCATGGCATTTCTTTCTTATACAATACATTCAACAAAGTTTGAAGGATTATTCTTTAGTCAGCAAGAGCTAACAGCAAATCACTGCACCAACCCATTTGGAAAACATTTTTGCCTTTACATACAGGGAAAACATTAGAACTTTGTGTCTCTGAACAAAATACAAATATAGGAACTTTGTGTCAACACACAGGGATAAAATTGGAATTTTGTGTCTCAAAATATAAGGAAAACATTGGATTTTTGTGTCTCAAAACATGGTAGGGAAAATGTAAACATTCAAACAACACAGGGAAAATATAGAAATATTGTGGCTATAGACAGGGGAAACATTGGAACTTTGTGTGTCTACATTCAGAGGAATATTGGAAATTTGCCTCTCTAAAAACATGGTAAACAACAAAACTTCACATACAGGAAAGTTATTGGCATTATTCACCTATATAAAGAAATAAAAGGGTTTGAGAAGGTACCACAAGTGAAATGGAACAATGTCACAAACCTGTGTAAAATTAAAAAGTCAATAAGCATTTCCTCAGTAACACACATCCCAAAGTCTCCAATCTATTTAAATAGCAGCAAAACTAAATCCATTGCAAAGGTTATAAAGCTATTCAAATGGCAAGGAAAGGAAATAACATCAATTTTAGAACATCCCATGTCAAAGGAACTAAAGCAACCCATTGTGTTCCCATTGTAAAAAATCTGTCCTCTTTCAACCCATTGTGTTCCCATTGTAACAGAAATCTACCTGACCTCTTTCAACCCATTGTGTTCCCATTGTAACAGAAATCTAACTGTCCTCTATCAACCCATTGTGTTCCCATTGTAACAGAAATCTAACTGTCCTCTATCAACTCATTGTGTTCCCTTTGTAACAGAAATCTACCTGACCTCTATCAACCCATCTTGTTCCCATGGTAACAGAAATCTTCCTGACCTCTATCAACCCATCTTGTTCCCATGGTAACAGAAATCTACCTGACCTCTATCAACCCATCGTGTTCCCATTGTAACAGAAATCTTCCTGACCTCTATCAACCCATCTTGTTCCCATGGTAACAGAAATCTGCCTGACCTCTATCAACCCATCGTGTTCCCATTGTAACAGAAATCTACCTGACCTCTATCAACCCATCGTGTTCCCATTGTAACAGAAATCTTCCTGTCCTCTATCAACCCATCGTGTTCCCATTGTAACAGAAATCTACCTGACCTCTATCAACCCATCGTGTTCCCATTGTAACAGAAATCTACCTGACCTCTATCAACCCATCGTGTTCACATGGTAACAGAAATCTTCCTGTCCTCTATCAACCCATCGTGTTCCCATTGTAACAGAAATCTACCTGACCTCTATCAACCCATCGTGTTCCCATGGTAACAGAAATCTACCTGACCTCTATCAACCCATTGTGTTCCCATTATAATTGAAATCTAATCATAATGTGCACTTGTTCAGTAAGTATTGTTTGAGCTCTTCAAGGATTTCTCATCCCCATTAAGGATTTTCAGTGTCGCATAAAGATTGCCTAACCTTGTAAAGATTTTGTTAAAGCATCATAGAACTTCCACAATCAGTGGAAATGATCCTCGATGAGTTCATATCACCTTATTAGGATTACTTTATTGCTAAAAAGCACTACAAACGCAGTTCTGTATGAACGTCTGGGCCATTTATAAATCTGAGTAAATCGATGCCCATGTGGCCCTCTAACCTACAGCATTATTCTTTGTACTATTATTTATGCTCGTCTGGTTCTTTTGCTAAGGATGATAATTCTACTTTCATCTCTATTGTATGTAACAACCTTTTATGAATTTTGAGGCATAATAGTTTCTTCCAATGTATTGTCGTGTTTTAGTGCAGTTTGTATAGAAATATGACAGTTTATCATACTTCTTTATGAACACAGAGAAGATAAGGCCTGCATAGACACTTTCTGTAATTTAGGAATGCAGCTTTCTCAGATAACAACTGGAAATTCTGCAATTTTACGCTGAATTTCTGGACACTCCTTTGGACAATGGCCAAATATGTCTCTAGATGAGGGAATGTTCATATTTAGATATCATTTGCCACAGATAATCCAGTTCTAGAGACATTAGGTCCTCTTTGATGGAACATGGAATATATGCATCAGGGACTTTTAACAATTGAATAACATTCAAGGAAGCTATTATAACAGATGGGTTCCATAGTCTTTATTCATTGACTAAATATTTGATATTTCTTTGACATGAGTTAAAGTATCCTCCATTAGACTGATGACATTTGACATTGTTTAAATGTGTATTGCTTGGCAGTTCCATTGCAGGAACCTCTAAGGGAGACTTTAGGTTTACACTCCATTCATCATTCAATGTCACAACCATTCAGTCAATCCATCTACCATTAAGTAAATTCTCAGTCATTCATTCAACCTAACAACCCATTCAGTCAGTCTCACAGCTATTCATTCAATCTCTCTGTCAATCAGTCGTTTGTTTATCTATTCAGTCAGTCTTACAGCTATTTATTCAATCTCACAGCCATTCCATCAATTTTTTTATCTATTCAGTCAATCTCCAAGCTATTTATTCAATCTCACTGCCATTCCATCAATTTTTTTTATCTATTCAGTCATTTTCTGAGCTGTTTATTCAATCTCACTGCCATTCCATCAATTTTTTTATCTATTCAGTCATTTTCTGAGCTGTTTATTCAATCTCACAACAATATTTAGTCAATTTTTCATCCATTTAATTGATGTCTAAGCCATCAGTCACTCAGACATTCTATGGATCCATACACCTGAAAAATCTAAGTAATTTTCTACCAGTCTATCACTCAGTCTGTCATTAGTCCATTGGTTCATACATATGACCGCTTCCCTACAATGCAAGCTGTGGGTAGCTCTTGTTATGGTGGAGTGTCACTAAGGAAACCTTGGTTTTGGATCTCTTTGGTACATAGTTTGATTCCAATTTGTAGGTTGTCAAGTATCCCATACAGAAGTTGGTCTCTTGCCCCATGAGAGTTAAGTCCCCTGTTAACCATTAATCATTCTGTAGGTAGAATTAAACCTTTAAATTTTATGAATCCAAAACAGTTTTGAGGGAGCATAAAGTTGCATTCCATCCTTTTGTGTCTACAGCATAACTTGCCTACAGTAACGTAAGATTCATGAAATTTGATGTATACGTTGGCCATACTGTGACAATGTGGAATAGTGAAAATTGAGGAAATTCTTTAAAATCCATCTTTGGTGAGAACACCTTGATTCTGTTTTGATATGTAGTCTGAAGCATACCTAGTTCAAAGGAACCTCAACCAGAAGCCTGACATATTAGAAATGTGGGGCCAAATTGGAGAAATGTTATGTTCTTAAAAATCCTTCCGTACAAGAATATTGTCCAAGTTTGGTCAGAAACAATTTTTATGAATAGTGAATCTGGCCTGTGTTTGGCCATAGCCCTGAACTCAGTAGGAAAATGATTTCAGAAATTCTTTGTCATGTTTGAAATTCTTTGTCATATTTGAAATTCTTTGTCATGTTTGAAATTCCTTGTTAAATGATTGAATATCTGAATAAGCCAGTTAAGCAATGCAGGCCTCCTGGGCCTCTTGTTGTCCTTTATATTTTGTGTTTTGAGCATAACTGTGCTTGCACTTAAACTAGGATGATAAAACTTGGGGTATGCATTGGTCATACTAAGACAATGTGCTGTGCGCCAAATACAGGGCTTGCAACCCTTTAATTAAAGAGTTATTTCCCTTTGTTAAAACTTTTTTGTACAGAGCACAGCTTTGTTTTTATCTATCCTAGAACAATGAAACTAGGTGTATACATTGGTCATACTAAGATGATGTGCAGTAAATCAAATTAAGGGCCAAAGCCCTTAATTCCAGAGTTATTGACCTTTGTTAAAATTAGGTGTGCAATAAAGTTATTTTTGTGGAGCATTAATAAGTTCCACTGATACCCTACTTTTTTAAAGAAATCCTTTCCAATATTTAGACAATGGATTGCTTGTAATAATTTATGGTAATGTTAAATGTACAGGTTTTTAGTGGCATAGATTTGATATGTGTACTTGTTATTTCAGGGCAACAGATCTTAAGCTGGCACTGGCAGACGGTGGTAAGAATGAGAATTACATGGGCTATCTCCTGCTACAATGTACATTGGTACCAAAGACCATCCAGGAAAAGGAAACAGTAAGTTTATACCTCAGTTTCTCTGTTTAAGGGGTTGTCTTAAATGATCTAGATACCTTGTTGTCGCTCTCGGACAGTAACAAGAATTGTATGGCAATAAATCCATTAAAATTTTATTTCTACTACAGTGCTGAACCTGAATTGGGTTTCAAAAAAACTTATCTTTTGCCTAATTGACCGGTGTTTGCTTCTCTGATCGGAATGTGAAAAGGCATGAAATAAGAGCTGGGGTATGTGGGTTTTCCCAGGGTACTGGGGCTTCCTCACAGAGTAATACCCCTCAGGTACCTCCATCCAGGAGAACAAAGGTTATTGATATCATGTCCTGTGAGGATTCATGACCTTGACTAAAGTATGAATATAGCAACATTTTTAATATTTAATGGTGCAGGACTGATTCTAAATAAAAGGTTCATTGTCATACATCAGAATAGTGACTGATTCCGTTCAAGCTTTAGAAATAAATGTCAGTTCTACTGACATTATGTTGTCATGTGAGCATGGATGTTCAGACTGCTAGTCTCAAGGGGAAAGAGAGGGTTTTGACTCATGAGGGTATGTAGGAGAGTGTCACACATGTCCCTGGCTGTGTGATGGACTCTAGGGAAAAGAGAGGAATACTGATGAGTGAGGGTATGTAGGGGAGGGTCACTGTATGGTTAGGACTCCATTGGAGAGATTACATTCTTTCTACACCAACATACATAGCACCACCAATAGACTGTATCTCATGTATGGTGACAATACACTATAATTACAGTTGTAGAATGAGAAGCTGAAGCTTGTTTAAGCGATCAATGATATTATGATACATGGCTTTGCACTAGGATAAGGTGACTGTATGAAGTTTACAGGGCCTTCATTATAAAGATGTCAGATTTTAATGTGTAAACTTCATACTCAACTTTAAAAGGAGACAGGAATACCATGATTGATGATACCAACATGAACATTCACTGGTTCTAGGGAATATTCTGTGTCAGTTTAGCTAGCTCTGAAGGCATTCCATGGAAATCCAGCAGTGTAAAGCATAGGTTGAGACTACACTATTTAAATATCAACTGTAAAACATTTATTGGGTTTTACATAACAATTTATCATGAAGTACAAACTTAATGCACTTTACCAAAGAATTGCAGCTTCAATCTGTCTGATGTTAGAACTTTTGATTATAAAACAATATTTTCACACTTTCTTATTGGCTGAAATAGTGCCATGTGATTTTAAACAATCAAACATTGTCCTGGGTTAGTACTTTTTATTAGGTTAATAAAATCATGTATGAACCTCATTAAAAGGTTATAATTGTATGATATACGATGTTACTAAAACCATGATAGTCAGACCAAATTTTGTCAACAATATTAGAAAATATATCTATGGGTTTTTTTAGCTTATATAAGTAAAGTAATGGTGATTATTTTTTTCTGGCATTCATTTTGCATTTGCTTCAAAGATAATTTGTCGAGATTGAATTATTGTCCATAAAATAGTGTTGGTTTGTATTGCCTGGGGGTCATTATTGGTAATCTAACAATACATGTAGTACCTGTAGTTATTTGATGATCTACCTGTGCCTTATAAAGCTGTGGTCATTCCCTGTAGCTAGATCGACTCACTTGACCTGTGGTCACCTGTAGGTAAGTTTGTGTGTAGACTTCGTCTCCCATGAATAATTTTGTTACGTTTAAAAATTAGTGGCAGGTCTTATATATTGATCCTGATATCTCTTGAGAGAATTAAGAAGACCTCTGAAGTAATCTAGGCCAGTCCAGGGCAATTATCCATGATAGTATTGAATATTGTTTCCATCTCCAAACCCTTGTCTTAAATTAGTCAATTCTTGTGGCTGTTGGTGGAAACCATAAATAAATGGTGACTCTTTCTGTAACTAAGATGCAATGTTATACTAAACCTCCTTATGGCAGTTGCTTTCAAGTTTTACATCATTAGTACTGAAGGAGTGGTCAGGTGACGTTGTGATCACATACTCTCACTTGTCACCAAGGCAACAAAGGTTCATTTTCCTGACCAAACGTGAAAAGGTATTGGGTCATTTGCCTAACCATATGGGTTTTCCCCAAAATGCTCCAGTTTCCAAACCGTAGTTCATCTGTGTCATTTATATATTTATCAGTTGGTATAACTTGTTTTGCAATCGTAAACAAGGGATAAGCAGATAATTCTGAGGTTTGTACTGACACTCTGAGGTTTCATTTTAATTATAAATGTGGAAAGCTGAGATGCCTGAACTGGAAAAACAAAGTGAAAGGTATTCAATTTCTACTGAGATTGATTGGAATGAAATTAAGTGCACAATGTTGTGTAAAACGGAAATTAGAGAGGGCTTTTAATTATAGTTCTGTAGCTAATACTAAAGATTTTTTACACAAATCAGTCTAATGTATCCTTTTGAAAAATGAGTTCTAACAGAACCTTGTAATCTGCATTCAGTCTTTAGGTCATCTGACCCGAACGATCAGGATGACCTATAGCTATTGTGTTTGGTCCATTGTTATACACGGTCCAACATAAACCATTTTTTTTATATTTCAAATTTCTTTTGAAGTTCCAGGGGCTAAGGGGCGAGGCCAAAAGGGGTCAACTTGATTTTCTAATCCCAGATTTAGTAGAAGTAAATGATTCATTTGGATGGAAGGTCTTGAGGTACTTTACCAAAGTTATAAATTTTATGTACTCAAGGTCTTGCATTTCCTCTGAAGGTCTGTTTTACTTCATTTTAAGTATGGGAAAGCTTTACTGTAATTTGAAACAACACTTTTTAATACATTCTATTCATTACCGTTGAAAATAGTCTTAAACTTGGAAAGCATAATTAAAACAGGAATGACGTTAATATTATAAGTATATGTAACCTGACTGATCCGCAGTGACTTACCTAATCGGTAGACTAGACAAATGATAGAGCAGTTGAATAATGTAAGCGTTAGGGTAGGAATAATGTTATTGTAGCACTTCTGAAATTTAATTCTCTTTACAAAGCACTTTCTATAATTGGAAAACATGCACAGTGATAAATCTATGTGCAAGCTCCAAGTCCTGTACTCATAGAATTTAGATGGAACTCCTAGAGGTTCTACAAATACTTGAATTTTTACAGTATGGGATCCATTGTTTTTAGCAATAAAGTTGAAAAGGACTTGAAAAGAACTGTAGATTTATCACTCTATATATTAATGTAATTTTAGTTACATATTTTTGTCTGGTAAATTCTCAGGAATTGTCCAGGGTCAAGTTGCTTCTCTGTATCTGTGTAGTTTAGCACTTGTAGCTTCTCCGGGACACTACAGAATGAAATTCTCATGTGAAAATAGTGAATTGTATGTAGTTGTTTTGGAATAGAGTTAGTGGCCCCTGATAACTTAAATAGCCTTCATGTAATTTGACTAAAATTGTTCTTACATTCTTCATTGTAACCAGTCAAAATTTCCCTGAAAACTTGTGGACTTACTTCATTTGTTTAACGTAATTTGCATTTCCTAGGTGAAGATAAAGGTCACATTAAAGTGGCTTAATGTTTCAAACACAATAACTTTTCACCATTGTTGTAGTAGTTCTTAATTGTTGTGACTTCCGCTCACTCATCCGTATCAGTTATAATGTCCTGTCATGATCAAAATCTAACTGTGTGATATAACAGTCATTAAGAAGCTTCTTGTGAATAAATGTCCTACAGCCAAGACACTTTACCTTCATTACTCTGTCTGTATGCCCAGTCATTGTCTGTATACCTAGTCATTGTCTGTATACCTAGTAATTGTCTGTATACCTAGTCATTGTCTGTATACCTAGTCATTGTCTGTATACCCAGGCATTGTCTGTATACCTAGTCATTGTCTGTATACCTAGTCATTGTCTGTATACCTAGGCATTGTCTGTATACCTAGTCATTGTCTGTATACCTAGTCATTGTCTGACACCTAGTCATTGTCTGTATACCTAGTCATTGTCTGTATACCTAGTCATTGTCTGTATACCTAGGCATTGTCTGTATACCAAGTCATTGTCTGTATACCTAGTTATTGTCTGTATACCTAGTCATTGTCTGTATACCTAGTCATTGTCTGATACCTAGTCATTGTCTGTATACTTAGACATTGTCTGTATACCTAGTCATTGTCTGTATACCTAGTCATTGTCTGTATACTTAGACATTGTCTGTATACCTAGTCATTGTCTGTATACCTAGGCATTGTCTGTATACCCAGTCATTGTCTGTATACATTGTCTGTATACTTAGTCATTGTCTGTATACCTAGTCATTGTCTGTATACCTAGTAATTGTCTGTATACCTAGTCATTGTCTGTATACCTAGTCATTGTCTGTATACCTAGGCATTGTCTGTATACTTAGTCATTGTCTGTATACCTAGTCATTGTCTGTATACCTAGTCATTGTCTGTATACCCAGGCATTGTCTGTATACCTAGTTATTGTCTGTATACATTGTCTGTATACCTAGTCAGTCTCTGTATACCTAGGCATTGTCTGTATACCAAGTCATTGTCTGTATACCTAGTCATTGTCTGTATACATTGTCTGTATACCTTGTCATTGTCTGTATACCTAGGCATTGTCTGTATACCCAGGCATTGTCTGTATACCTAGGCATTGTCTGTATACCTAGTCATTGTCTGTATACCTAGTCATTGTCTGATACCTAGTCATTGTCTGTATACTTAGTCATTGTCTGTATACCTAGTCATTGTCTGTATACCTAGTCATTGTCTGTATACCTAGGCATTGTCTGTATACCTAGTCATTGTCTGTATACATTGTCTGTATACTTAGTCATTGTCTGTATACCAATCATTGTCTGTATACCTAGTCATTGTCGGTATACTTAGTCATTGTCTGTATACTTAGTCATTGTCTGTATACCAATCATTGTCTGTATACTTAGTCATTGTCGGTATACTTAGTCATTGTCTGTATACATAGTCATTGTCTGTATACTTAGTCATTGTCTGTATACTTAGTCATTGTCTGTATACTTAGTCAAAATTCTAATTTTAGTTTGGTTGACTCGTAATTCATTTAGTGAACATTTCTTTTGAGTCAAAGTGATTTTTAAACCCTTCAATTGTAAAGTAATAGAAAAGTCAGTTACTGTTTTTGAAAGTTAGCTTTTGTCTGAACATTAGCATGTCTTCCGAAGATACCAGTCAATACATACACAGAGTCAAATGTCACCTGTGTGTAACACATGGCTAATTATGGTGTATCAGTCCACACAACACATGTTTTCTGACAATTAATTACCACTTCATTTATCCAGTTATAGGCTAGCTTCTTAATTATTGTCGCCATCCTATAGCAATGACTTACCTGTACTTTAAACAAGTATCATGCTTATACAAGACATGAAAACAGTTAGCTTAGCTGCATGCATCTGTAGAAACGATGAAAACAAAACCATCAAACTAGTACAAACTTTTTGGCGAAATCTGACAATTCTGAGAGATACTAATTTTTGTACTTGTTTACCAAAGGACTGTGGCCGGGCAATTTGCTATATTTATTGCTTGGACAATGCTGTGCTGAAAGTATTTCCAACTGATAATCTATATCTGTAATTTCAAATGACAGATTAAATTACACTATTTGTAACATGGAATACCATGCTATCGCACTTCGTTTAACCGTAGTCATTGTCAGGAAACTGATATCATTAGCCTCATTTGGACACTTTGTTGGAGTCTAAATTTGGATAAGTTGAATATTTTCCACGATCCCTTGAATTTCGAGATAATGAGTTTCGACTGTATAGATATATGGCTATAAAAGCCTGCTTTCATTGCTTTGCTTATGAATGCCAAATGAACTCCAGTAATACATATAGGAGTTACAGAACATAATCAGCTTTCAATATCTTGAATGGTGTGATAAAATCGTTATCAAGTCATTCTGTGTCCAGTGGTAGTCTGTGCATAGGATTCAGATAATTCTATCAGACTTCTTATGCCGTTAGGTACAGTAAGGAACCCTGGAGTAAGTTTGGTTAGTTATATCAGTGTCATACTGAGCTACTGTCCCTCTGAATGTTGAATCCAATTTATCAGCAGTCTTTCACTGCTATGTTTTTATGAATTCATGACAAGAAAATGAAAACGGAGTTCTGAAACATTTGACAGTTAGAACAAAATTATGAAATATATCCTAATTTTCTCAGATGATAAATTCATGCTGCTGAATCCCTAGGGTGTCTGTTTATCTGTTACACAGACCTGTATTCTCTTCTTTGTTACAAGGTCCCTAGGGTGTCTGTTTATCTGTTACACAGACCTGTATTCTGATCTTTGTTACAAGGTCCCTAGGGTGTCTGTTTATCTGTTACACAGACCTGTATTCTGATCTTTGTTACAAGGTCCCTAGGGTGTCTGTTTATCTGTTACACAGACCTGTATTCTGTTCTTTGTTACAAGGTCCATAGGGTGTCTGTTTATCTGTTACACAGACCTGTATTCTGATCTTTGTTACAAGGTCCCTAGGGTGTCTGTTTATCTGTTACACAGACCTGTATTCTGATCTTTGTTACAAGGTCCCTAGGGTGTCTGTTTATCTGTTACACAGACCTGTATTCTGTTCTTTGTTACAAGGTCCCTAGGGTGTCTGTTTATCTGTTACACAGACCTGTATTCTGTTCTTTGTTACAAGGTCCCTAGGGTGTCTGTTTATCTGTTACACAGACCTGTATTCTGTTCTTTGTTACAAGGTCCATAGGGTGTCTGTTTATCTGTTACACAGACCTGTATTCTGTTCTTTGTTACAAGGTCCCTAGGGTGTCTGTTTATCTGTTACACAGACCTGTATTCTATTCTTTGTTACAAGGTCCATAGGGTGTCTGTTTATCTGTTACACAGACCTGTATTCTGTTCTTTGTTACAAGGTCCCTAGGGTGTCTGTTTATCTGTTACACAGACCTGTATTCTATACTTTGTTACAAAGTCCCTAGGGTGTCGATGTTTGTTACACAGACCTGTATTCTGTTCTTTGTTACAAGGTCCCTAGGGTGTCTGTTTATCTGTTACACAGACCTGTATTCTGTTCTTTGTTACAAGGTCCATAGGGTGTCTGTTTATCTGTTACACAGACCTGTATTCTGTTCTTTGTTACAAGGTCCCTAGGGTGTCTGTTTATCTGTTACACAGACCTGTATTCTCTTCTTTGTTACAAGGTCCATAGGGTGTCTGTTTATCTGTTACACAGACCTGTATTCTGTGCTTTGTTACAAGGTCCCTAGGGTGTCTGTTTATCTGTTACACACACCTGTATTCTGTTCTTTGTTACAAGGTCCCTAGGGTGTCTGTTTATCTGTTACACAGACCTGTATTCTCTTCTTTGTTACAAGGTCCATAGGGTATCTGTTTGTTACACAGACCTGTATTCTGTTCTTTGTTACAAGGTCCCTAGGGTGTCTGTTTATCTGTTACACAGACCTGTATTCTGTTCTTTGTTACAAGGTCCCTAGGGTGTCTGTTTATCTGTTACACACACCTGTATTCTGTTCTTTGTTACAAGGTCCCTAGGGTGTCTGTTTATCTGTTACACAGACCTGTATTCTGTTCTTTGTTACAAGGTCCCTAGGGTGTCTGTTTATCTGTTACACAGACCTGTATTCTGTTCTTTGTTACAAGGTCCCTAGGGTGTCTGTTTATCTGTTACACAGACCTGTATTCTATTCTTTGTTACAAGGTCCCTAGGGTGTCTGTTTATCTGTTACACAGACCTGTATTCTGTTCTTTGTTACAAGGTCCATAGGGTGTCTGTTTATCTGTTACACAGACCTGTATTCTATTCTTTGTTACAAGGTCCCTAGGGTGTCTGTTTATCTGTTACACAGACCTGTATTCTGTTCTTTGTTACAAGGTCCCTAGGGTGTCTGTTTATCTGTTACACAGACCTGTATTCTATTCTTTGTTACAAGGTCCCTAGGGTGTCTGTTTATCTGTTACACAGACCTGTATTCTGTTCTTTGTTACAAGGTCCCTAGGGTGTCTGTTTATCTGTTACACAGACCTGTATTCTATTCTTTGTTACAAGGTCCCTAGGGTGTCGATGTTTGTTACACAGACCTGTATTCTGTTCTTTGTTACAAGGTCCCTAGGGTGTCTGTTTATCTGTTACACAGACCTGTATTCTGTTCTTTGTTACAAGGTCCCTAGGGTGTCTGTTTATCTGTTACACAGACCTGTATTCTGTTCTTTGTTACAAGGTCCCTAGGGTGTCTGTTTATCTGTTACACAGACCTATTCTGTTACACAGACCACAGACCTGTATTCTGTTCTTTGTTACAAGGTCCCTAGGGTGTCTGTTTATCTGTTACACAGACCTGTATTCTGTTCTTTGTTACAAGGTCCATAGGGTGTCTGTTTATCTGTTACACAGACCTGTATTCTGTTCTTTGTTACAAGGTCCCTAGGGTGTCTGTTTATCTGTTACACACACCTGTATTCTGTTCTTTGTTACAAGGTCCCTAGGGTGTCTGTTTATCTGTTACACAGACCTGTATTCTATTCTTTGTTACAAGGTCCCTAGGTTATCTGTTTGTTACACACACCTGTATTCTGTTCTTTGTTACAAGGTCCCTAGGGTGTCTGTTTATCTGTTACACAGACCTGTATTCTGTTCTTTGTTACAAGGTCCCTAGGGTGTCTGTTTATCTGTTACACAGACCTGTATTCTATTCTTTGTTACAAGGTCCCTAGGGTGTCTGTTTATCTGTTACACAGACCTGTATTCTCTTCTTTGTTACAAGGTCCCTAGGGTGTCTGTTTATCTGTTACACAGACCTGTATTCTATTCTTTGATACAAGGTCCCTAGGGTGTCTGTTTATCTGTTACACAGATCTGTATTCTATTCTTTGTTACAAGGTCCCTAGGGTATCTGTTTATCTGTTACACAGACCTGTATTCTGTTCTTTGTTACAAGGTCCCTAGGGTGTCTGTTTATCTGTTACACAGACCTGTATTCTGTTCTTTGTTACAAGGTCCCTAGGGTGTCTGTTTATCTGTTACACAGACCTATATTCTGTTCTTTGTTACAAGGTCCATAGGGTATCTATGTTTGTTACACAGACCTGTATTCTGTTCTTTGTTACAAGGTCCATAGGGTATCTGTTTGTTACACAGACCTGTATTCTGTTCTTTGTTACAAGGTCCCTAGGGTGTCTATGTTTGTTACACAGGCCTGTATTCTGCTCTTTGTTACAAGGTCCCTAGGTTATCTGTTTGTTACACAGACCTTTATTCTGTTCTTTGTTACAAGGTCCCTAGGGTGTCTATGTTTGTTACACAGACCTGTATTCTGCTCTTTGTTACAAGGTCCATAGGGTATCTGTTTGTTACACAGACCTATATTCTGCTCTTTGTTACAAGGTCCCTAGCATATCTGTTTGTTACACATACCTGTATCCAAATCTTTCTTTGCAATGTAGCTATGATGTCTGCTAATCTGTTGCATGGACCTATATCCTGCTCTTTCAGTACAAAATTCTGCACGGCTTCTATGTCTGATAAAACCTGCTCAAAGTGATACCCTCAAACACCATTGTGAAGTATCACTGAGTGGAAAGAGGTATTTTACCTGTGGTTAATTCTTCCCAGTATAGATCGTGTGAAATAAAGGCATTGACTTTCATTCTGTTTTTATGTTCTACCATTTGTCTTGGAGAAACGAGTCTTATTTTAGAACTGCATTTTCATTATCTCCTAACCTTTATCTTGTTAGTGAAGTTAAGCATGAAAATTGTCCCTATTGATAGATAATGTTTCCATGACATCGGTTGCCAGGGTGACCTGTATTATACAACATTGTCCATTTATTTCATCTTTGGTTTTTACAGACGACATTCAAGACAAAAGGTGCCACGAAAGGTGATTCAAATAAGAAGCTGAAGATGCAGATCTGGTGTGGTGTTGTAACAATAGTGTTGGTGGAGGGACGAAATCTAGTGCCCATGGATAACAATGGCTACAGTGATCCCTATGTCAAGTTCAGATTGGGTGCTGAGAAGTACAAGAGCAAGGTAGACTGGAATGGTTCTAATTCAACATTGGATTACATGTTTGCTTCTCATTTTCGTTTAATTCTGTTTTAGAAATGCTAAGCTTGTCCTAAAATAGGATGTTTAATATCTTGGTACCAAGTAAGATGGCAATGTATTTTACAAAACCTAGTTTTCATGAACTGTACGTGTAGATGCCTCTGCATTGCTGAGAGGCCTCAAATTATAGCTCTTTGGTGAATACAACTATTTTTCTCAGAGATGTTCTCTTATGAATCTTCAGTGTTTCATTTGCTTGAGTCTTACAGCCTGTATAAATTGGGAAAACTGAGCAATGTTTCTTTAAAATTGGGAAAATAACACCTTTCTATCACTGGAAAACAACCTGTTTTGACTGTGAAATAGGACAAAACCTACAAATTACTGCTTATTGAATTCTACTCTCTTTCCCTAAGATATCATCATGCAAACCTTGTTATGTTACAGAAAGACTCTCGTAAACCTGGTTGACTCCATGTATAATTTATTTTGTGATAGCACAAGTTTTTAATGAAAGATCTTATATTCTCATCGTTTTGATCATTGTTTGATTTTGTGATAGTTTAAAACAAAAACGCTGAACCCTACCTGGTTGGAACAGTTTGATCTACGTATGTATGACGACCAAAGTCGTAATCTGGAGATCACAGTCTACGACCACGATGTCACTGGGCGTGATGACTTTATGGGAAGGTAAATTTATACTTACGAAGTCAAAATTTTCAAATTTTTACCCAAGAGATGTTGTATGGTGTCAATATTGGTCTATTTGTCATATAAGGATTAATGTAAGACTGTTGTAGGAACACATATATCCAATATTTAAATGACTTGAGGCTGTATAGATTATTGCAGTGTTAGCAACATACTGGTAATTACAGAAGATTTTCACATTTTGACATTTTATCTTAAAGATAAATTAGGAATAAGTGAGATCAATTTTATGTCTCCTTTTTAATTGGTGTGGTGTATGGATAATTGTGAATGTTATTTTATTATATTTTAACTGAAATGATTACGTATTGATAAAGGCGTCACATGGGAAATTTTACTTCAAAAAGATATTGATTCTTACAGTACTATAAGAAGGAGGCTTACACAAACATTTTGCAGCCTCCCACAAACACGCAAAGTCAACATATACACTCAACTCGCATATACTGGGAAGCCATCTTTATAGCTGTTGATAGGATGTTAAATCATAAAAAAAACAAAACAGGTTTACAATATTTAAGTAAATCAATTTGAGTTAAGAAAATATTAGATAATTTAGAATCTTGTGACTGAACTGATTAGAATAACCATGTACCACAAGTTGGTCCAGATAGATCTAACTTCATGTGACATTTTATACAGAATACAAGTAAATTCCCTTTATAGAAAAATTCTTCAGAGTTTCTTGTAAGAGGGTTTTGAAAGGCTTGAATCTATGACATATATATATATATATTATAACAATATTAGTAGAAACTGTTATGGAAAACTTACCCTAACCATTTTATTACTTTTTGAAAAGTTTGAAAAATCTTGATGGAGTTTCCTTTGGGAACTGACTGTCTTTGGAGAATTACAAGATTCCCCTAAAATTTGATGTGTTGTGTCAAATGTTTTTGATTTTCGTCACATTTATTTTTAATTTTTCCAGAGCTGTGATTGACCTGTCGCAGGTGAAACATGAGGTGACACATACATTTGACCAGGCCCTGGAGGATGGGGCTGGCATCATCAAGATACTGCTGACTGTTAGTGGAACATGTGGCACAGAGACAATCTCTGACCTCGCCAACTTTACCACAAACCCTCGTGATCGTGAGGAAACCGTGAACAAATATGTAAGACCTGAAATCTTCTGAACACTGTATATTGAGAAACATTTGCTCGGGTGACGTTTTTATCTCCTGGTGTTTCATTCATCCTTAAACAACAAAGACATATAGTTCAGCTTTTAACATAAAAACTTTGCCCACCTTTTAAATTCACTTTATTAGCTGTAGAGTGAAATCAATGAAAGTAACCCTGAGTTGCAAGTTTCTCTCTACACAGTGAAATTCCATTTAGTCAAGCACTAGAGATCGAAAGGTTGCTCATTCAAACTACAGTGGGGTCGTTTTATCCATTTCTTTCTTATTTATAACCATGATTGGTAAAAATTGGAACACCATGTCCAAGTAGAATTCTGTAATAGAAAAAGAATGAATGTGATCCTCTAGACGAGTGTAGTGATAGGAGCCATATAGGGAAAAAATATTCAGATTTTGAAAAAAAAAAAAAGAAAAAGAAAAACTTTAATATTCTGGAAATACTTGTGTGGTCTAATTCTTTCAGATATCTCTAGAGATCTTAAAAATGAAAATTATTCAAGCCATGTCCTTGGAACACTCCATTGTTCTCAGGGATGGGATGAAGTTTATTTTATGTTCTCAGAGATGGGATGAAGTTTATTTTATGTTCTCAGAGATGGGATGAAGTTCATTTTATGTTCTCAGAGATGGGATGAAGTTCATTTTATGTTCTCAGAGATGGGATGAAGTTCATTTTATGTTCTCAGAGATGGGATGAAGTTTATTTTGTGTTCTCAGAGATGGGATGAAGTTTATTTTATGTTCTCAGGGATGGGATGAAGTTCATTTTATGTTCTCAGAGATGGGATGAAGTTCATTTTATGTTCTCAGAGATGGGATGAAGTTTATTTTATGTTCTCAGGGATGGGATGAAGTTTATTTTATGTTCTCAGAGATGGGATGAAGTTTATTTTATGTTCTCAGAGATGGGATGAAGTTTATTTTATGTTCTCAGAGATGGGATGAAGTTTATTTTGTGTTCTAGGAGATGGGATGAAGTTTATTTTATGTTCTCAGAGATGGGATGAAGTTTATTTTGTGTTCTAGGAGATGGGATGAAGTTTATTTTATGTTCTCAGAGATGGGATGAAGTTCATTTTATGTTCTCAGGGATGGGATGAAGTTTATTTTATGTTCTCAGAGATGGGATGAAGTTTATTTTATGTTCTCAGGGATGGGATGAAGTTCATTTTATGTTCTCAGAGATGGGATGAAGTTTATTTTGTGTTCTCAGAGATGGGATGAAGTTTATTTTATGTTCTCAGAGATGGGATGAAGTTCATTTTATGTTCTCAGAGATGGGATGAAGTTTATTTTGTGTTCTCATTTTATGTTCTCAGAGATGGGATGAAGTTCATTTTATGTTCTCAGAGATGGGATGAAGTTTATTTTATGTTCTCAGGGATGGGATGAAGTTTATTTTATGTTCTCAGAGATGGGATGAAGTTTATTTTATGTTCTCAGAGATGGGATGAAGTTTATTTTATGTTCTCAGAGATGGGATGAAGTTCATTTTATGTTCTCAGAGATGGGATGAAGTTTATTTTGTGTTCTAGGAGATGGGATGAAGTTTATTTTATGTTCTCAGAGATGGGATGAAGTTTATTTTGTGTTCTAGGAGATGGGATGAAGTTTATCAGAGGTGGGATGAAGTTTATTTTGTGTTCTCAGGGATGGGATGAAGTTTATTTTATGTTCTAGGAGATGGGATGAAGTTCATTTTATGTTCTCAGGGATGGGATGAAGTTTATTTTATGTTCTAGGAGATGGGATGAAGTTTATTTTATGTTCTCAGAGATGGGATGAAGTTTAAGTTTATTTTTTGTTCTCAGGGATGGGATGAAGTTTATTTTATGTTCTCAGGATGGGATGAAGTTTATTTTATGTTCTCAGAGATGGGATGAAGTTTATTTTATGTTCTCAGATGATGGTTCATGAAGTTTATTTTGTGTTCTCAGGGATGGGATGAAGTTTATTTTATGTTCTCATTTTATGTTCTCAGAGATGGGATGAAGTTTATTTTATGTTCTCGGAGATGGGATGAAGTTGATTTTATGTTCTAGGAGATGGGATAGGAGATGGGATGAAGTTTATTTTATGTTCTAGGAGATGGGATGAAGTTTATTTTGTGTTCTCAGGGATGGGATGAAGTTTATTTTATGTTCTAGGAGATGGGATGAAGTTTATTTTATGTTCTCAGAGATGGGATGAAGTTCATTTTATGTTCTCAGAGATGGGATGAAGTTTATTTTATGTTCTCAGAGATGGGATGAAGTTTATTTTGTGTTCTAGGAGATGGGATGAAGTTTATTTTATGTTCTAGGAGATGGGATGAAGTTTATTTTATGTTCTCAGAGATGGGATGAAGTTTATTTTATGTTCTCAGAGATGGGATGAAGTTTATTTTATGTTCTCAGGGATGGGATGAAGTTTATTTTGTGTTCTCAGAGATGGGATGAAGTTTATTTTATGTTCTCAGAGATGGGATGAAGTTTATTTTATGTTCTCAGAGATGGGATGAAGTTTATTTTATGTTCTCAGGGATGGGATGAAGTTTATTTTATGTTCTCAGAGATGGGATGAAGTTTATTTTATGTTCTCAGAGATGGGATGAAGTTTATTTTGTGTTCTAGGAGATGGGATGAAGTTTATTTTATGTTCTCAGAGATGGGATGAAGTTTATTTTATGTTCTCAGAGATGGGATGAAGTTTATTTTATGTTCTCAGAGATGGGATGAAGTTTATTTTGTGTTCTCAGAGATGGGATGAAGTTTATTTTATGTTCTCAGAGATGGGATGAAGTTTATTTTATGTTCTCAGAGATGGGATGAAGTTTATTTTATGTTCTCAGAGATGGGATGAAGTTTATTTTATGTTCTCAGAGATGGGATGAAGTTTATTTTATGTTCTCGGAGATGGGATGAAGTTTATTTTATGTTCTCAGAGATGGGATAAAATTTATTTTATGTTCTCGGAGATGGGATGAAGTTTATTTTATGTTCTCAGAGATGGGATGAAGTTTATTTTATGTTCTCAGAGATGGGATGAAGTTTATTTTGTGTTCTCAGAGATGGGATGAAGTTTATTTTATGTTCTCAGAGATGGGATGAAGTTTATTTTGTGTTCTCAGAGATGGGATGAAGTTTATTTTATGTTCTCAGAGATGGGATGAAGTTTATTTTATGTTCTCAGAGATGGGATGAAGTTCATTTTATGTTCTCAGAGATGGGATGAAGTTTATTTTGTGTTCTCAGAGATGGGATGAAGTTTATTTTATGTTCTCAGAGATGGGATAAAGTTTATTTTATGTTCTCGGAGATGGGATGAAGTTTATTTTGTGTTCTAGGAGATGGGATGAAGTTTATTTTATGTTCTCAGAGATGGGATGAAGTTTATTTTGTGTTCTCAGAGATGGGATGAAGTTTATTTTGTGTTCTCAGAGATGGGATGAAGTTTATTTTATGTTCTCAGAGATGGGATGAAGTTTATTTTATGTTCTCAGAGATGGGATGAAGTTTATTTTATGTTCTCAGAGATGGGATGAAGTTTATTTTATGTTCTCAGAGATGGGATGAAGTTTATTTTATGTTCTCAGAGATGGGATGAAGTTCATTTTATGTTCTCAGAGATGGGATGAAGTTTATTTTATGTTCTCAGAGATGGGATGAAGTTTATTTTATGTTCTCAGAGATGGGATAAAGTTTATTTTATGTTCTCAGAGATGGGATGAAGTTTATTTTATGTTCTCAGAGATGGGATGAAGTTTATTTTATGTTCTCAGAGATGGGATGAAGTTTATTTTATGTTCTAGGAGATGGGATGAAGTTTATTTTATGTTCTCAGAGATGGGATGAAGTTTATTTTATGTTTTCAGAGATGGGATGAAGTTCATTTTATGTTCTCAGAGATGGGATGAAGTTTATTTTATGTTCTCAGAGATGGGATGAAGTTTATTTTATGTTCTCAGAGATGGGATGAAGTTTATTTTATGTTCTCAGAGATGGGATGAAGTTTATTTTATGTTCTCAGGGATGGGATGAAGTTTATTTTGTGTTCTCAGAGATGGGATGAAGTTTATTTTGTGTTCTCAGAGATGGGATGAAGTTTATTTTATGTTCTCAGAGATGGGATGAAGTTTATTTTATGTTCTCAGAGATGGGATGAAGTTTATTTTATGTTCTCAGAGATGGGATGAAGTTTATTTTGTGTTCTCAGAGATGGGATGAAGTTTATTTTATGTTCTCAGAGATGGGATGAAGTTCATTTTATGTTCTCAGGGATGGGATGAAGTTTATTTTATGTTCTCAGAGATGGGATGAAGTTTATTTTATGTTCTCAGAGATGGGATGAAGTTTCTTTTAGTTCATATAAAAAATCAAAAACAGTGATCAGTTTCCAACATCATGTATGATTATGATAATTTGATGACATTTGAGTGTTGAAATGTGTTGACTCTATTAGAAATCTTCATTGTCAGTTGGCTGTTTAAATGTTCTAGAACATCTTTACACTTTGATCATGAATACCTTATATAGCTGGATATAGACAGTTGACTGTAACATTGGGACACTTTTTTGTGATGATGTGGTACTGAATGAATGAAATAAGAAACAGTATGTTTTGGGATAATTAGTTTGACCCCCAGCAGTTCTACTGGAGGGAATTATGAGCTGCACTCCACTTCTCCAACCACCTTTGCCACAACTTTGTTTTATGCCTTATGACATCTGGGATGCTGGAAGTCTTAAGTAGTCTTGTAATAAACTAGTTGGGTCTCTTGCCTCGGTTGAAATATCAGTTCTGAAATTTGATAAAATGTAGAGAGAGGGTCAGGTACTTTGACTAGAGTGAATTACTGTTTAGATATACTTTAAGATTTCTCCTCTGGATTTTTTTTACTTTCTGCTTGGAACATTTTAGTTTTTGTATTGATTTTCCTGGTCTACTACAAACACGCATCAATACTATTTTGTCCTCAAGGCATGTGATATAACTGTCTGGGTCTAAAACGTCTAAACGTAGACAGATTCATGCAAAATTTTATCTATCTAACAAGTTTCAAGGCCAGTATTTTTTTTTTATCTGACTAGTGATTCAGAAGTAATCATGTGATATTGTGACATATTGGTTTGGGGCACAATGTTTGTATAATATTGATCAAGGCGACCTCTTCCTGTTTAATTTATCAGTAACTATATCCTAGTGTTGAAGGGCATCAATGACTGATGTAGATCAATCTGACTACAATCATTATATATATATATATATATATATATATATATAATAAATCTTTATACTTATCTCCTTCTATGAAGTGATACAAGATATACCTTTATGTGTCAGCATGTCTGGTCAGTTTTTATTTAGCATTTAGGTGATTAAAGAATCACATATATACATTTATACAATTTAACATGATTATGTGCCATTATTATAACACAAAGTGGTAAAGTACATTTAAAATCTATTATCTTATAACACAAAGTGGTAAAGTACATTTAAAATCTATTATCTTATAACACAAAGTGGTAAAGTACATTTAAAATCTATTATCTTATAACACAAAGTGGTAAAGTACATTTAAAATCTATTATCTTATAACACAAAGTGGTAAAGTACATTTAAAATCTATTATCTTATAACACAAAGTGGTAAAGTACATTTAAAATCTACTATCTTATAACACAAAGTGGTAAAGTACATTTAAAATCTACTATCTTATAACACAAAGTGGTAAAGTACATTTAAAATCTATTATCTTATAACACAAAGTGGTAAAGTACATTTAAAATCTATTATCTTATAACACAAAGTGGTAAAGTACATTTAAAATCTTCTATCTTATAACACAAAGTGGTAAAGTACATTTAAAATCTACTATCTTATAACACAAAGTGGTAAAGTACATTTAAAATCTATTATCTTATAACACAAAGTGGTAAAGTACATTTAAAATCTTCTATCTTATAACACAAAGTGGTAAAGTACATTTAAAATCTATTATCTTATAACACAAAGTGGTAAAGTACATTTAAAATCTATTATCTTATAACACAAAGTGGTAAAGTACATTTAAAATCTATTATCTTATAACACAAAGTGGTAAAGTACATTTAAAATCTTCTATCTTATAACACAAAGTGGTAAAGTACATTTAAAATCTATTATCTTATAACACAAAGTGGTAAAGTACATTTAAAATCTATTATCTTATAACACAAAGTGGTAAAGTACATTTAAAATCTTCTATCTTATAACACAAAGTGGTAAAGTACATTTAAAATCTACTATCTTATAACACAAAGTGGTAAAGTACATTTAAAATCTATTATCTTATAACACAAAGTGGTAAAGTACATTTAAAATCTATTATCTTATAACACAAAGTGGTAAAGTACATTTAAAATCTTCTATCTTATAACACAAAGTGGTAAAGTACATTTAAAATCTATTATCTTATAACACAAAGTGGTAAAGTACATTTAAAATCTATTATCTTATAACACAAAGTGGTAAAGTACATTTAAAATCTATTATCTTATAACACAAAGTGGTAAAGTACATTTAAAATCTATTATCTTATAACACAAAGTGGTAAAGTACATTTAAAATCTACTATCTTATAACACAAAGTGGTAAAGTACATTTAAAATCTTCTATCTTATAACACAAAGTGGTAAAGTACATTTAAAATCTATTATCTTATAACACAAAGTGGTAAAGTACATTTAAAATCTTCTATCTTATAACACAAAGTGGTAAAGTACATTTAAAATCTATTATCTTATAACACAAAGTGGTAAAGTACATTTAAAATCTACTATCTTATAACACAAAGTGGTAAAGTACATTTAAAATCTACTATCTTATAACACAAAGTGGTAAAGTACATTTAAAATCTACTATCTTATAACACAAAGTGATAAAGTACATTTAAAATCTACTATCTTATAACACAAAGTGGTAAAGTACATTTAAAATCTACTATCTTATAACACAAAGTGATAAAGTACATTTAAAATCTATTATCTTATAACACAAAGTGATAAAGTACATTTAAAATCTATTATCTTATAACACAAAGTGGTAAAGTACATTTAAAATCTACTATCTTATAACACAAAGTGATAAAGTACATTTAAAATCTACTATCTTATAACACAAAGTGGTAAAGTACATTTAAAATCTATTATCTTATAACACAAAGTGATAAAGTACATTTAAAATCTATTATCTTATAACACAAAGTGGTAAAGTACATTTAAAATCTACTATCTTATAACACAAAGTGGTAAAGTACATTTAAAATCTACTATCTTATAACACAAAGTGATAAAGTACATTTAAAATCTATTATCTTATAACACAAAGTGATAAAGTACATTTAAAATCTATTATCTTATAACACAAAGTGGTAAAGTACATTTAAAATCTATTATCTTGACCGTTGACTTTTGATTCCTACCATTTTGTTTATTCACTTAAATAAATAATAGCACTGATAATGGAATATACAGATTGTCATGTAATTAGTCACTGTGTGATCACCATTTTTCTTCAGCAGTTTTGTAAACTTGACCTTTGACTTCAACTATTTTGGTCACTAATTCAATTTTCAAACAGAGGTCACACAATTTGATATAACTAATGACACTGGGATTGTAGTCTTTGTAAAATTATGTGATCATTAATTATGATATTTCTCTCAGAAGAGGTACTGTAGCAAGGGTGATTTTTAGTAACCATTAGAACCATTTCAACCTTGACCTCTATGACCTTGGTTTGAGGGTAGAAGTTTGGCGTTCATGTTTGACATTCATGTATCTGATTTAGTTACAAATCCTGAATAAATATTATGGTTTTGATGCAATTTTCTCTTAAACTGTTGTGTGATTATTGGAGTGAGTTGTTCCATTTAATTTTTGCAGAACTTAAAAAGTTCCTTCAAAAATTTGAAAGACATTGGCTGGCTCCAAGTTAAAGGTAGGTGAGATGGAGACAATTATGAGATCATAAATCAACCCCATGCTGAGTCAATGATGTTCAAATTAGTTCCATCACCTGCTAAATTGTTAAAAAAATATTACAGATTATCAATTTTTGTAACTAGCATGTTAGGAAGGTAATGGTTGTTAATGTTTTGTTACATTGTAGATATTTAAAACTGAAATCAACAAATAACTTTGAGATAGTTTATGTTTGAATGCAGTCAGCACCTGTTGGCTAGATATTGGGATTCTTTTATAGTAATACCACAGTTCCAGTGTCTACTGTGTTAATTATTCATCAGTGACTAGCTGAGAATTGTGTATCACAGTGTAGGTAATAATTACCACAAACAACCTCCTCATAGATCTCCTGATGCATGTATGTGTTGATTACCTATGTAAGTTTGTAAACTGATCCTTAAAGGTTATGTATACCCCCCTATTCCTGGCAAATTGGAAAAAGTGTTGGGGGGGCTTATTTGCGGGAGGGGGCTTATTTGCGGTGAAATACAGGAATTGAAATTGTTAGATAAATTCAATATGATATGGATATCTATGTCAGACTTTGAAATGTTATTATATGTTGTAAGCATGCTGAAAACATGCTGAAAAGATGATTTTGTGCCACCAAACTGCTCTGTTGTACTGGGGATTAGATTTGCATGCCTCTAGGGGTCTGATTACGATAAGTTTTTTGTTTTAGTTTTACTCTGTGTGACACAGGACGTTACTTTGGATAATGTTCAGAGTCAGTTTGGTTGTATTCTGTGTATGTACAATATATTTTGATTGATTAATGATTTCTGTCTCATGGCAGTGTTCCGTGCTCAAAACCTGGCGTCTGCTGATATAGGAGGAAAGAGTGATCCGTTCTGTGTGTTAGAACTCGTCAACTCTCGATTACAGACACAAACCGAGTACAAAACTCTTAACCCAGAGTGGAACAAGGTCTTCACATTGTAAGTCAAAAGAGATGTGGGTCACATGAATGTCATGTGACATTGTTTTTTATGAAATGTTTTTACCTTAAATATTCTAATGCTTTCTGAGAAAAAAAATAAGGAATATAAAAATCACACGCCATCTGTGTGAAAGGCCATACTATATCACAGCAATGGCAATCATAAACATATGAATGTTGTATTATGATCATGTGATACTTGATATTTCAGCAATGTGAAGGACATCCATTCTGTGTTGGAGGTGACTGTATATGATGAGGACAGAGACAAAAAAGTGGAGTTCTTAGGGAAAGTGGCCATCCCTATTCTCAACGTAAGTGTTGATCACTGAAATAGGTTATAACTCTGTGAGTATAAATATGGCTGATATTTGATTGTATAAATATCACAGGGTCTTCATAACAGATTGCTCACTATCTTGAAATTATTCAATACATTATCTTTTCCTTGTTGTACATCTAAATTTCATTTCTTTAATCTTTAATGGATTTGATGTGACACCTTATCTTTAATGGATTTAGATGTGACACCTTATCTTTAATGGATTTTGATGTGACACCTTATCTTTAATGGATTTTGATGTGACACCTTATCTTTAATGGATTTTGATGTGACACCTTATCTTTAATGGATTTGATGTGACACCTTATCTTTAATGGTTTTGATGTGACACCTTATCAATTTCTTATCATCAAAATCACCTATCTTTCAGATAAAACGATGTGAAAGACGATGGTACTCACTAAAGGACAAGAAGCTGATGCGGAGAGGGAAAGGAGTAATTCAACTGGAATTGGACTTTGTGTACAATCATGTAAGTAGCAAACTTACAGGAAAACAATATGTCAATCAAAGTAATACCTCTAAATAGGTTAGATAGGGTGAACATAGTGTAGGTCATTAATAATCAAAGTACTGAACATCAGTTTATCAGGATTTACATTTTATATCCGTATAAGTAAATGAGGAGAAACGAGTATGCTATGTGATATGTAAATGAGCAATTTTATATGAAATTAAAATGAGTATATTTTGTCATATTTAAATGAGTATGGTAGATTTTATATTTTTGTACCGTTACAGTTGAAGGCAGCAATCCGTACAGTGAATCCTAAAGAAGAGAAATATATGCAACCTGATCCCAAGTTTAAAATATCTGTAAGTCCTAGATTGACCTATCTGGAAATCATCCTCAATTTTAGCTTCCTTTACAGGATACACATGTTTACTTGTCTGAAAAAAAAAAATGTTTTCAATCTGACTTTACGATTATCAGACAAATGACTCAGCTGAAAGAGCATACCTCAGTTGAGTAAGAATATTGCACTTTAACACTAGCTTTAAATTGAGTTCTGTTGTGATGCTCACTTTTCTTAAGCTAGGGTTACTTATCAAACCCAAAGATTTATTATATAGAACTGTAAGGATATGATAGTTACCTCCCTTGTTTAAACAAAATAACACATCAATACCAAACAATGTAAATTTTGAAATATTGATTTTCAGGTGATGAAAAGGAACATTGACCGTGTATCCCAGCTAGCTAGCTCTTTTATTGAGGGAGGCAAGTTTATCCAGAGCTGTTTTGATTGGGAATCTCGAGCACGGAGTATATCTGCCTTTATAGTGAGTAACACTACTTATCTCCCTTTATTTAATGATAGGACAGTACTGTTTCGCTGTATTGATTTACACTTTAGACAGAACAACGTATTTTAAATAGGACTTCAATCTTTGAGACAGTAATGATGATAAATGGATGCAGTGCAGTGTTTACATTAGATTAACCTTTAAAGCACACCTTCCTAATAGGCAAGTTCGGGTATGCTCTGGTGCAACACATTTTTTCTTCTTCTGTTTAATAGCCATGAGGTCTAGAATCAACATGTTTGGCAAGTAGTAGGCTGGGATAAAGGGCTTTTAATTTTGTTCAAATGAATGACTTTCTGTTCACATTAATGACCTTGAACCTTCAAGGTCAAAATGATGAAAGGTACAAAAAATTATTAAATAACGTCTGTAACACAACCAAACGGTCCAGAGTTATGTTACTTACAATATACATGGAAGATGGAGTACTAAGTTCTAGATGAAAGATGCAGGAATATACTTTTCAAAGAATTCTCTTTATAAGGAGCAGAACAGGTAAGTAAAAAAACATGCCTATTTGGTCCTTTATATCTAAGTATACTTTGACTTTTACCTTTGAATTCATCAACCTAAATAAAGGATATTTTGTTACCTGTCTACAATGTCATCAGACTTTGAGTTTGTTGATCTTGATTTTTGACTGTATTAACATAAGCTTTTGGTAAATTTGTTGACCTTTGACCTTGCAGGCCTACCTTGTGATAGTTTGGTGCTTTGAGCTTTATATGCTTCCGATCACACTGTTGATCATCTTCCTCAAAAACTTCATTATCGTGTCTGTCACCGGAGCCTTCAACACCAGCACCAACATTGAGGATGTAAGTAAGATAAGGGTACTATTCTATCTTTTTGATAAAGCTCTTCTCAAAACCTAAAAATTTGATATAATGCCATTCCAGTCAAACCTCGATATAATGCCATCCCAGTTAACTTTGATATAATGCCATCCCAGTTAACCTTACTGTAATGTCATCCCAGTCAAACCTAGATATAATGCCATCCCAGTAAACCTTGATAAAATGTCATCCCAGTTAACCTTGATATAATGTCATCTCAGTAAACCTTGATATAATGTCATCCCAGTTTACCTTGACATAATGTCATCTCAGTTAACCTTGGTATAATGTCATCTCAGTAAACCTTGATATAATGTCATCCCAGTTAACCTTGATATAATGTCATCTCAAATAACCTTCATATAATGTCATCTTAGTTGACCATCATATAATGTCATCTCAGTTAACCTTGATATAATACCATCCCAGTTAACCTTGATATAATATCATCCCAGTTAACCTTGACATAATGTCATCCCAGTTTACCTTGACATAATGTCATCTCAGTTAACCTTGATATAATGTCATCTCAGTAAACCTTGATATAATGTCATCCCAGTTAACCTTGACATAATGTCATCTCAAATAACCTTCATATAATGTCATCTTAGTTGACCATCATATAATGTCATCTCAGTTAACCTTGATATAACGTCATCCTAGTTAACCTTGATAAAATATCATCCCAGTTAACCTTGATATAATGTCATCCCTGTTAACCTTGACATTATGTCATTCCAGTTAACATTGATATAACGTCATCCTAGTTAACCTTGATAAAATATCATCCCTGTTAACCTTGACATAATGTCATCCCAGTTAACCTTGATATAATGTCATCTCAGTTAACCTTGATATAATATTATTCCAGTTAACCTTGATATAATGTTATCCCAGTTAACCTTGATATAATACCATCCCAGTTAACCCTTGATAAAATGTCATCCCAGTTAACACTTGATATAATACCATCCCAGTTAACCTTGTAAAACCATGGTACAATTGACTTGAGATGTAAAGAACATTTGATTATTCAATACAAACAATTATCAGAACCACTATACACTGGCTGCAAACTTCTTATTTGTATAACAATCATAAATCAGCTGTGTCCATTGACCCCAAAGTACCGATATACTGCCAAAAAATTTCAAAACACATTAGCTTATCTTCTAATTCTAACAGTTCATTGATCAGCAACATTTTAGAATCAGTATGATTTTTTCTTTATCAACGTTAACATGATTATTTTACAAACTTGTTTTTCATGTGCAGGCCTATGTTGACTCAGATGATGAAGATGATGATGACGACAAAGATAAGGTGAGAAAAGTTTTTATACATAATAATGTTACACATGTACAGTACTGTTGATTGTTGTGTTTAGTTAAAGCAATCAGGACCTGTGTTATAGAAATGTGGTAATGGTTGTTGCAATATGGACCAATCAGAGATTTGCTTACAACATCAGGTTATTGGACAGTTCAAAGGTCAAATCAGTGGTTAGTAGACAGTGAGTATAGTATTAACCAGAAAGAGAGATTGTTTGCTCTGTGTAATCCTAGGCAATCATAGATATTATCCTTATGGAGCATACAGGTAAGTCATATGTGATGTGTCTTAAGGTGATAATGACTTCCTGGTGTTTGGGCTGTCATTAATGGAATAGTTTGTATCAATGCATAAGTTTTTGAAAATGAAATCTATATGTTGATTTACAAATGTAATATTTTTTTCAAAATGCGAAAATGTACCCCCCAAGAATGTGCACTCTTTATTCTCATTAAGTATAAAAACTATTGTCAACAGATCATTGATTTTTCTTTGCAGTCGGCAATATTTTCAACAAGTAAAATACGCAGTTGGTTTTCCATGCAACTCAGTAAAACCCACCACCAATCTGTGATTACAAGCAATTTTTTTAGTGTGATACCTGAAATATACCAAGTGTGTTATCCTGTGTTGGTTGGATTGTTTGTTATAAATTCAAGTTATGAGATATTTATCTACTGAAAAACTTGGCAATTAGAGACATCTCTTTGTTGTTGACCAGTCAGTGTTTCATTTATGGTTGAATTTATTCATTATATATTGGAGTTAACTGAATTTTTGTGGGTTTTTTTTTTTTTTTTTTTTGTATATGTATATATATTTCCAGACATGAATTAGAATGCGCCTATCCAAAAGCAATGTGTTTGTTTGAACTTGCATCATTCTCATTGTACGTACAATTTTGTGGAGGCTGTATTCTTTACAGATGCTGGCTATGTTTTTATCAAAATTGTTTTTTATGATAAGGGTGTATAGGGGTTTCAGTGTAAGGGATATTACTCCATAGTGAAGAGAGCTTCCACAAAATTAATCCCACCAGATTGAATCCTCATAATGCATGACAAGCTATAAGAATGACAGAATGCTATATTTGCTGTTGTTGGTTGTTACCTCCCCTTAATATAGGAATGACTGAATGCCATATTTACTATTGTCAGTATTACCTCCCCTTAATAAGGACACTGTTGTATACCTGAACATGTTTTTATTTTTCATTTTGCACAACAGAAAAAGGTAATGCTTTGTTCTGTAAATCCCAGACACCTTGCCATGATAATGATTGATTTGCACGTTTTAAGCTGAATTTTTATTCTATCTTGTCTGCCTGGTATCATCTTAGCCTTACCCAACCTACCTCTCTTGTTTTTATATGTGTGTGTACTTACTTGTAGTGATGTTTACTTACTTTCACACATGCATATAGTTTGTATTCATGTGAGTGTTCTATACCTATACATACATAGGCACATGCTTTACATTTAACACTGAACATTTATTTACCCTTCAGCTGATGAACATACAGGTGTGTATTAAATAACAGGTGTTTATTACCTAGCTGACACTCATACAGGCGTTTATTACCTAGCTGACACTCATACAGGCATTTTATTACCTAGCTGACACTCATACAGGCGTTTATTACCTAGCTGACACTCATACAGGCGTTTATTACCTAGCTGACACTCATACAGGCGTTTATTACCTAGCTGACACTCATACAAGCGTTTATTACCTAGCTGACACTCATACAGGCGTTTATTACCTAGCTGACACCCATACTGGTGTTAATTACATACCTGACATCCATACAGATGTTATTGCATATACAATAAGTGTTTACAAAAGCGATACTCATACAAGTGTTAATTACATACCTGCTACACCTACAGGTGTAATTTTGCTAACACCCATACAAGTGTTAATTACATACCTGTTACAAATACAGGTGTTAATTAGCTACGCGACACCCATACAAGTGTTAAGTACATACCTGTTACAAATACAGGTGTTAATTAGCTACGCGACACCCATACAAGTGTTAAGTACATACCTGTTACAAATACAGGTGTTAATTAGCTACGCGACACCCATAAAAGTGTTAAGTACATACCTGTTACAAATACAGGTGTTAATTAGCTACGTGACACCCATACAAGTGTTAATTACATACCTGTTACAAATACAGGTGTTTATTAGCTACGTGACAACCATACCAATGTTAATTACCTACCTGACAACTCTTTTTTCTATACTTCCACAATTCTATACATACTATTTGTTCAATAGAAACATCCTAAAATATTATTGGAAAAGGAGTAAATAAATAGGCTTTACTGTGGCTTGAATTTTTGAGCACCCTCTATTTTCTTGGAAATTCCAAAAATTTGGCAGCTGTGACAGGAACAGTTTCCTATCTACTGTAATTGATGTGTAGTAAGTGTAGTTTAGTATAATTATGGCAGAAGTGCTTGTTAAGAAGTCTCCGAGAAACAAAAATGTGAACAACCACCAGATTACAAAGACACATATATAGTATTGATTCTCAGCTAGAGTTATGATAAAAACATAAAATTGATGCAGTTTTTCTTTTACTTTATTATGTTTCCTCTGAGAAAATCTGTTTCTTATTAGTAATTCTACATTATATACCTCTAAATATGTAAATCAATCAAAGATATTTTCAACATCCTTACCTAATGTAAACCTGTGTTATTTTTGTAGGCATGCTTGCTGGTCACCTATGTTAATAACATCATCACATGTGGCCTATATTTTCTTCCATATTTGGACGTGTATTTGAAGTGTATCTTTGTGTATATGTTTATACACTGGTGAAGGATTTACCATCCTAAGTGTATTTTCTCTATTACAAATTTCTAGTGTATTTCTAGCTGTCACAAAGTTCAATTTATTTTTATAACTGCAAATTGAAAGAAATATTTTGATATTGAATACTCTCTTCATAATCAAGTGTTAAAGCAATTTCATTTTAATTTGATTATTTTTGGAATCTGAAAAGGCTTGGACAACACACATTGTCTATTTCAGTAAATTCTATTAAAGTAATATCTAAAATTCATTGATAGCAGTGAATGTTTTTTGTAGTGTACTTAAAAGGAACTATCTTAAAATGTTACCATTAAATGAATTATTTTGTTCAATTATTGAAAAATGTTTTAAATTGCTACTTCATCTTCTCCAGAACAAAAAACAGGATAAGGTAAACTGTCACATAATTGGGAAACTGTAAAAGCATGTTTCACAATGAAAAGTTTTATTTTAATATTTATATTTTAAAATATCCACCTGGTATATATCTATGTTTCTAATTATATAAAAAAAACTTATTTTCTTTATCAAAAAGATTACATTTAATTATTTGGTACTTTGTCTCCACTTTTTTGTGTAATCTATGTTCTTGAAAGTCATAGTGATACTGGTAACTACAATCTTGTTTAGTAATCAATAGATATAGATGTTAAGGTCCTAAAGATTTCCATTACTAGTTCGCTAATGGGAAAACCAGTGGGGACTATAGTTTTTCTTTCCGTTCATCTGTACGTCCAATTGTCCGTCCCCATGTCTGTGAAAGTTTGGCAGCACTCTAGCAGCTTCTCATCAAACTTCACACGCTTATTAAGCATCAAATTATATTTGACAAGTTTGAGTTTCAAGGTTGTTGGGACAAGGTTAAGGTCACTGTTACTGTTTTTAGTAAATTCATAAATCAATACAGTGTAATAGCTTATAGGGGACAAGTATTGCTTCAACAATACTCAATATATACTTACACAACCTCAGGTGAAGATTTGAGGTGCGTGGTTCAACACTGTCACCTGTAGTGGTTTTTGTTTCCTAGGAAGCTGAGAAACAGACTGGTCTGACTGACATGCTTGTGTCTTTGGCAAGACACTTTACACAAATCACCAGTATTCTTGATGACATGTGATGGGCCTTTTGTATATTGTTCAGTGAGGTAGCTACTAGCTACTTTATAAGGAGACCTGGCCTCATTATGACCTTGGGTTTGGGGAAGACAGTAAACCCCAGCCAACAAATCAATAACATCTTGCCTGTGGGAGGTTGTTATTTTACATACACTACATATTGATCTTTCATATGAGCACATTGATAAAAACTATTAATGGTTGTATCTAAAACAACTTTCCTTTCACACCTTTAGAGGATTCTCTGGCTGCTTTTCATCAATTACCATGAGCCTACCAGACATAATCAGCCTCCTTAGTGTCATGTCCAGCATACTCATTTACAGCTTATTTGAAAAAAAAGTGACATCCAATCACACATTTTCAAGCCTTGCAGGTGAATTGCATGATGATGGCAACAAAGCTTGAAAACATTAGTGATTGTGGAATTTTGTTTGCCATGTTAGTATTTTGTTTATATAAATGTACGATTTCTCATATTTATTTATATATATATATATCATACATGTTAATATTAGTATTCAATATTTTATAATCTCTTTACCTAACAATCAGGAATGCCTTTTTTAGAAGGTTTTTCTATACTTTTATTCAAGTTTTTACAATATCAGCACAGGAATCGGTCATGAATTCCATCAGGTTAATTGATCAATATGGAAAGTACACAAAAGTGCTACCCAGACATACAAATAGGTGGCATGGTAGTGATTAATGTAGAAAGGGCTGAAAAAGTCTTCATTGCTCACATTACTTAGAAAGAGGATTATTAATATTACATAACCCTCACAAATCTCCCTTAAATGTGAACACAGTAGTCGATGAGTGTTTGATGTGTCTATTTCTCCTCCAATTTTTTATACCTTAGATGGTTTTCATCATCGTCTCTCATCAATAAATACTGTTCCTGAAAGCATCCCGTCTTTTCTTTGTAAAGACCCTAATTCTGGCCTACCCTCCTCAGCCTGAAGTACTTATATACCGGTATATAGATAATAGTTTTGTTGATATATCAGAGGATATCATCCCCAGTTAAAAGTAAGATCTGAAGCATTTGGACCTGATGTGGTAGTTCACAAACAGAAATCTCCATAGCTCCTGAAACAGAAATCTCCATTGCTCCTGAAACAGAAATCTCCATTGCTCCTGAAACAGAAATCTTCTTTGCTGAAATCTCCATTGCTCCCGAATTAGAAATCTCCATTGCTCCTGAATTAGAAATCTCCATTGCTCCTGAAACAGAAATCTCCATTGCTCCTGAAACAGAAATCTCCATTGCTCCTGAAACAGAAATCTCCATTGCTCCTGAAATCTCCATTGCTCCTGAATTAGAAATCTCCATTGCTCCTGAAACAGAAATCTTCATTGCTCCTTAAACAGAAATCTCCATTGCTCCTTAAACAGAAATCTTCATTGCTCCTTAAACAGAAATCTTCATTTCTCTACAAAATGAAATCTTCATTGATCTTGAGGCAGTAATCTTCATTTCTCTTTAAACAGAAATCTTCACTGTTCTTTAAACTGAAATCTTCATTGCTCCTGAATTAGAAATCTTCCTTGCTCCTGAAACAGACATCTCCATTGCCCTGAAACAAATCTTCATTGCTCTTGAGGCAGTAATCTTCATTTCTCTTTAAACAGAAATCTTCGCTGTTCTTTAAACAGAAATCTTCACTGCTCTTAAAACAGAAATCTTCATTTCTATTTAAAAGCAATGATATAACCAAAACTGGTCAGGATGACTGAGATTTGAGGGGGGATGATATTTCTTCTTTCAACACAGTAGTGTGTTACATTGTTTCTTAATCAGTTCTCTTTTTACCTGAAGTTGTTTTTATAAGTCTTTTGAAATTGATGCATGCATATAACTTTTTTTATTTATCTCTGGCATCAAATGTCATTATAATCGCTCTAGGTGTAAAGAATTATTGTATTACTAGAATATGGTAATTTATGGTATTTTTCTAAATGATAGGTAAAGCTGTATTACCATACAATTTCAATGAAAGGTACATCACACCACTTCAATTATTTATTTTCTGAAATCTCAGCCATTTTTATTTAGAAACAAACCAGGATAATTGCTTTATAAAAGTATTGTGTAATGTGTATAATGTCTGTTTTATTTCATGATCAGTATTTAATCATTTCTCTTTATGGTTGGTTATAAACACATCCTAGGTTTGTGATACCAGCTTATTGTTAATGACTAGGAGATAAATGTTATGAAAGAAACCATTTTTTTGGGGGGGATGGGGGGTGGGGAGGAACAGGGTTGTATTTAAATAAAGAAAGTTTATGCCTAAAGAAATCAAATTGACTTAACCTTTTGTTAAGACCAGTATTTCTAAATAAGATTTAAACTGCATGAGATAACATTATATATAATATTGAAACTAAATTAATTTTTGTTGTCTGTGAAAAATGTATACCAGAATCATTATGTCATTGGATGACATGTGGTCATTTTTCAGTGTACTTCTTGTAGTGTGGATTTGTGTCCCAAATGTTGAAATGTATGATACAGTTATCTCAGGATCATGTCCCCTTGTTTTCTCAGGAGGAGAAGAAGAGCTTTAAGGAGAAATTACATGCAATACAAGAGGTCTGTCTACAAGTGCAACAAGGCATGGACATGGCAGCCTCCTTAGGTGAACGAGTCAAAAAGTAAGTCCTTATTTGTGTTTCCAAATGCTTATAAAACATTTGCTTTTTAATTACAGTTGTTTTATCTCTTTGGCTATGTAGATAAATGTTTCTTTTCAACATAAACTCTTGTATACCATCCTTGTTTGCATTCTGTAGACTGACAATGTCTGCTTTGTTACAGTACATTCAACTGGACGGTGCCCTGGCTTTCCATGTTAGCTGTGATAGCCCTGACAATTGGTGTGATTGTGCTATATTCCATCCCTCTTCGTTTCCTCATACTGGCCTGGGGTAAGTCTCGTTGTGCTGTACTCCATCCCTTCTCATTTCCTCATACTGGCCTGGGGTAAGTCTCGTTGTTCTGTACTCCATCCCTCTTCGTTTCCTCATACTGGCCTGGGGTAAGTCTCGTTGTGCTGTACTCCATCCCTCTTCGTTTCCTCATACTGGCCTGGAGTAAGTCTCATTGTGCTATACTCCATCCCTCTTCGTTTCCTCAAATTGACCTTGATGATGCCTCATCATTGAATCTTCTGATCAAACCTTTTTAGGGATATATGCCACACATACTGTAAACCACTTATATTTCATGTGGGATTTATTTTCACATAAATATGCACGGAGAATCAATCACAAATTCAAATCCCTGGCGATTGTTTGTATGAAATAACTTTTGATGCCAGCCATGCTGATTCAGTCATCAATATTGTAGTCCATATATCTAACAGCCCATCATTCCTGAGTTTAAAATCATTTCTAGAAAACCGGTCGCAAAATCATGTATTTGTGAATATGTCTGTAGAGAAAAAAATTCACTTAATATAAGTCCAGATAAAAAAGCCTGAACCCATGGGATTTTGTCTCTCTGGGAGGTAAATAGCCCAAACCCATGGGATTTTGTCTCTCTGGGAGGTAAATAGCCCGAACCCATGGGATTTTGTCTCTCTGGGAGGTAAATAGCCCGAACCCATGGGATTTTGTCTCTCTGGAAAGTAAATAGCCCGAACCCATGGGATTTTGTCTCTCTGGGAGGTAAATAGCCCGAACCCATGGGATTTTGTCTCTCTGGGAGGTAAATAGCCCGAACCCATGGGATTTTGTCTCTCTGGGAAGTGTGTTTGAGAATTTTAGATAACAACATATATATTCAACCATCTTTCAGAGATTAAAATTCTTTTTTATAAGGGTAGAGTTAAAAATTTTAATAAAGCAAATTTTCATTTTTCTCTGTTAGTGTGAGCTCACTGCTTGTAGTTTGTGTACTGGTTCATTTGTATAAATGGGTATCACACCTTTACCTGAGTCCATGAAATAAAGAAATATCTCTCTCTGCACAGATCTTAATATTTCAAAATTGTGTGACATTAGATAAACAAATATTCTACATGACAGGTATCAACAAGTTTACGAAGAAACTCAGAGCCCCTAATGCCATTCCAAACAATGAACTCCTGGATTTCCTGTCTCGAGTACCCTCTGACAGTGAATTGGTAAGTGACAGAGTCCATCCTCTGCCTATTTTGGGTGCCTTTAGAGAGAATTTGTAAGTGATACAGTCCATCCTCTGCCTATTTTGCATACCTTCAGAGAGAATTTGTAAGTGATACAATGCCTGTCTTGAATACCCTCAGACAGTGAATCCTGGGGCATTTGGTTATTTGAATTGCACACAAATGCTAACAGAATTAGTAATTCTTCTATCTATCTAAGTTCTGAATCATAATTTGATAAAACAGCTTTTCTCATATCCATTCAGGTGATTAAGTGAAGACCAATGCTTCAAGTGATTGTTTATTTACAGGATCTTTCATAAGTCATTGTTGTGGTTTTCTTTCCAGGTACAATACCGAGAACTACGCCCTGACGCTCAGTCAATGTCAAAGAAATCCAAACAAGCGTAGCAAGATTCATGTAAAGCCATGTTTGGTAAAAAGATGGTAGACAGTGTTGCCTTCATTGCATAATTGCACCAACTCTGGTGATATAAAACATTGCTGAAGCAGACTTTGGTGATATGTCAAGGTCATCAGAATGCACTGATACACTGCTGATCTCTGTCACACCCAGAAGTACACTGAAGACAGGCTCAAGGTCGCTTCCATCAATGATGACCAGGATATGGTCAAAACCAGTCGGCTGATGTTTTGGTTGTGCTGAGACTAAATTTTGTGAAGAGATCTGTGGTCTGTTGTTGGAAAAATTTGGAAGAGGAACATATCAGGAAGATAGTTATAAACTATCACTGATCATACTTGGATCAATTACCATGACAACGGTAGTAAAGTTGACATTGATACTAGTTACCATGGTGATGGTAGCAGCATTTAAAAATGGATGTTACCTTGGTGATATGGTTTCTTTTCTTCGTTGGTGATATTATCACCATTTCTGAGGCAGCTGTATTTTTTCTTACTTTTAGTCCCTAATCTTACCCACAGGGTCATACTCATCATCCCAATTACTGTTGACTCAGACTACATGGCAGTTCTACCATATTATACTATTGTTATACTGCAGGTGGGCAATGGTCCATCGCTTCCTTTGAGATCCACTATGTATCTCCTTTGGAGATGGAAAAAGAAACTGAAGTTTAGTTGCTGTGGAGACAGATGGCCTCATTTTCACTGGAGCTTTTGTTTCTTGTTCAGAAACTGTGGATTGAAGTGTTTTGATATTTGTACAGTTTTCAAAACGACAATTTGATCAACTAGTTTTTGTAGAGGAGTTTTTGAAATATCCTCTTGTGTTAAACTGGGTTTGGTGGGTAAAATATTTGATAGCCTTCAAACCCAGTTAGATATTCACACTTTCGCACTGCTGACATTTTCGGTGAATATTAACAGGTGCACACATGTGTTACACCAGAGAGGAGGAGGAGGTATCTGTTTCATTAAAGACACAGATGTGCTGAGGAGATCCAGGCTACATTACATCCTATGCCACACATCAATATTCCAGTTGTTTTGGCGGATAAATCACAGATTTACATTCCGTATGCAAGGAGAAGAGAATCTCACCTGTTCTTGATGTGTATAATTTTAAACAATCAACATTTACATTATAATGTTTATTTTTCATTGTTATCAAACCATGCAAGATTTTGGTAGAATATTTCTGTATGTATGTTAACAGATATATTAGTTTATGTATGAAATCCATGCCTTATCATTTGTTTACCTTTGAATGTCTCACTGACTATAGATATACATTATCAGAAATCTCATAATATTTTGAAGCTTCTCAAAGCTTTTGATCTGTGTATGAATCTTTGTAATCAGTTGTCCTCACTAGAACATGTCAACTAAACATACTTAAAATAAATACTGTAAATTCATGTATTTTCATGGGGTTAAATTTTTGTGGTTTTCAAAATAAAAGACCAGTAGTCTATTTCATGGACACTTGATTTGGTAGAAGACTCTAACTCAGTAACTCTACTTATACTCATCTCAACCGTTCCTGGAGATGTTAATTTGTGTATTTAGAGTACCCACAGGATCAGTGAAAATAAATCCCCATGAAAATTAATGATTATTCAGTACCTTGACATCACCATCAGCAGATGTTGTTTTTCTTTTCGTTATCTTTGCTGATAGTTGTGATATTTGTCATTACCACATCCAAACACTGTGTGTAGTACTTTTGACATTATGAACTTTTTGCCTGAATGTTTATCAATAACACTACTTAAATCATTTTCCCCTCTTGTTTTCGATAAATAAAATCCAATTGACAAGGTCGAAATATAATGGTAATAATTTTGAATCTTTCACATTTATTTGATGCTCATTCATTTTCTCATGAAAACAATTGGACAGTATTTTCTTAGATGAATGTGATGTTATTAACAGTTAGTCAGGTTTGAGGTAATCAGGCAAGATTCTCATGACAAATTCTCTGTCTGCTTAATTGGACCCATTTTGATTTTATTTAAATTCAGAATTACACACTGAAGAAAAAAGAAAAGTTTGGTTTTTTTCTTTAATTTATATAAATCTATGTTCTCTTAAATTATATTTACATTCACAAAGCAATAAACAACTTTTCATTAAACTTTTGTTGATACTGACAAACTCGGATTTATATGGACCAGATCTGATAATAAATAAATTTAACTTATTTTGCAATTGTTGTAAAATAAATAATTTCAACTTATACTAATCACTCTCGTTAGCCCTGATGTAAGCGTGTGAGGGGTCATTTCACGTCCATTCAAGGAGTCGAACCACGACGGCTAGGTGAAAGGCATGTGCATTACCACTGTGCCACCCGACCACCCCAAGATCTGATTTATAGCTAGGGGTTATTTTCTCAATGTTATTACAGAACAGGCAATTACAACTGTTTACACAATTAGTAATGTGAAAGGGAAAATAAACTGATTTATTTACAACTATCTTAATCCCTGCTAAAAATACCAATACTCTTGTCTTCAACATCCCAGGCAGGATTTTTATCCTAACTGAACTAAAAGTTAGGTTCTGACTTTTAAGTCATATACTTTCATAGGTGTGGTCTACCAGTTGAAAAGTGTGTTGTTACAGGAGTGTCTGGTCGAAAAGTATTTAACATTGGTGTGGTTTCAGAAGTGTGTAGTTGAAAATAATGTAACATCAATGTGAGAACTTTTGGTGTTCTGTTGAAAAGTATTTAATGTCAGTATGGTTACAGGAGTGTCTAATTGAAAAGCATTTAACATCAGCGTGATTACACTTGGTGTCCAGTTGAAAAGTAACCAAGATGGATTAGCTACTGTTGATTATCTGAATGTAGCAATATTGATATTTTCAGTAATTTTGCTACATCATTAAATAACACAGATATTTGTTAGAAAATGACATATAATCTCCTTTGCTCAATATCACTTTGTACATGGTATCTTCAAATGTCTGTGATGTCATATTAAGTTTTTAAAACACTTCTACATGCATAGAAATATATATATCATATTATGCTATCACAGTTACTCTGCAACCAGCACAAGGAGCAAACCAATTACTTCTTGCTCAAAGTCAGGGGTTGCGCTTATTACACTACATTGAAATTGGATTAGTTAACAGCAATATTTTGGAGTGGGCTTGTTACCAGGCATGGGCTTATTGTCTGATAAAAACGCTAACTACTTGTCTTTCTTACTGTCATGATACCTTAAGTTCAATAAAGGCATAAAACAGCCTATGAATTATCAGGACTTTATTAAGAAAAGATACTAGAACTGCGACCCTGTGAACATACATTGACAATGACAAATATTTTATGAAAATACCATATCGTTAGACTTGGATGAGTTTAAGTGTATATGTTTGTAGTATCTAGTGCTATACCCTGTGATATGTCTGTTTTTCCGTCCTCATCCATATAGTCTGCTAGTCCTTATCTTGGGCGTATTGTCAGCCAACTATTGTTTCATTAAGATGACCAGCTGAGCAGGTTTTATTTATCAATATCATAAATATGCATTTTATTTTGTTGGTACAAATGTATAACTTAATTGTTATTTGTGTATGTATTAAGTTATCATAGTTTATCTTTATTAGAACATATCCTGATTTTGTTTATAAACTTGATGAAGTTAGGAGTCACTAGTTTCAGATTTTTTTATTTATTTTTATTTCAAAAATGTTATAAACAGAAATATAGATAGTTTCTTGTAAAACTTTATTTGTACTTCGATGTTTTTTACTCTTGCTGAAATTTGAAATGTATTTAATTTTCAGATTAATTTCTTTATGTTTTTTTTAAGCCCATGAAAGAAACTCCTCAACAACTTGGTTTTATTCACATTCCTTATTGTTGCCATTGGAAACAGTTGTTGGAGCTAAGGAAATCCTTTTAGGAATATTTTCTTGAACTCAAAGAATGCTTTCCAATTTTTTTTCAGTAATAGGAAAGTGAATTGAATGAATCTCATCACATTTTGGAATTAATGAAACTAGGACTTTTGACTTCTGAAATGATTAGAACATCACATTGATACTCATATCCTGTACTTATAAATGTCTATTTATGTTCCCTATACTGTAGGGTATCTTAGATACAAAGTCAAATTACATTACCTATGATGTATATCTTATGTGTTCACCTGTCAAATTCAGTGTATACGAAATACCTTATGAGATTTTAGTGCAAAAGAGTAGAAAATTGCAAAAAGCATAATTTATTTCTAAAATGCCTGCAATGTTGTCATGATAAACTCCAATTCAACCATTTTATTATAGGATCGAATTACATTTACTTAGTCTGACAAGGCACTGATATAACAGGTGACTTTGATTGGTAGCTCTTCTGTTGGAAGACATTGTATTAAATTGTACTGTACATAACTCTGTACATTGGTGCATAGTAATGCTAACATTTTATCACTGCAAATTATATTACTGTACATTGTGATAAAGTAACATTACTGTACATTGAAATACCATATATTATACCTTGTAACATTGTATATTATACATTGTAATGCAGTATTATATACATTGTAACAGCATATATCGTACATAGTAACTTTTTATACTATACATTGTAATACTTTATAACACTGTACATTGTATAGTTCTAACAATGTCTTTTGGAATACATCCCTGTTTGTTTGACATTATGTCCTTTGGATTTTATTGTTACAAACTTTTTTATTTACTCATTACATGTAGCATTCTGTTACATTTTAGGTAAGCTGTTTGCGAGGAAGAGTTCCTTTTCATTATATTTTATATACAGTTGGACACTTTTCTTGAAGGCTTCCATCTTGGATTTTGCCACCTTAAGTACAGATGGGACCTTTCTCCAATCCATATGTAGGGTTCTCTTGATGATTGGTGTCATTAAGTGATTCATTCATATGTCAGTTATCACACCCTTCCAAGAGAGGAAAGAAGAATAGGGAAAAAAAGGAGAAAATAAAACCATTAAACCAACAATATGATGTCAGAATATCCCTCTGTGATCTTATGTTGATATCTTTTTTTCTTGACAGTTTTTTTTAATTACTACCAGAATCATTTTTTGATATTTCAATATCAGAAAGCTTTGGTGTTCTCCATTAAATCTTGTTGATTCTAATGTAAAAAATACTTTACTTGAAATAGAAGTAGATATGTAATGTGGTGATTCATGCCACACTGTCAACAATCGGCCAAAAGAATTCCAGTGTGAAAAAAGAGTTAGGGGCGATCTCTACAAGTAGGTAGTGCTGCATACTACAACAGGATCTGTTTTACTCATAACGTACTCTTAATACATAAAAAAGGCTATGGCTGTGAAATATATTAAGGTTTATGTGCTAAATACTATACTGTTCCTGTTACAGAATTCAGAAGAAAAAAGAAATATTCTGTTGCTCTGTATACAGAAAAGTGGATAGAAACCACTATCATCAACTTCAATACATTTGTTTTTATTAGATAAGTTTTAATGTATAAACACAAAATTTCCTACATAAATTTCAGATTTCAATATCATAACTAGAAGTTCAAAATATTAGCTGAAAATTTATTTTAGTGAACAATCATGTTTATTTCTTTTATCAATCATCCCAATTTTTAATTGAGCAACAATCAAATGACCATTTTACAAGTTACTCGATCTGATATCTATACTTGTACATATTGTGTAAACAAAGTTCTTGCTCAAACCTAGATCTTAGTAACATATATTAGTAAAATAGATAATAATTATCCTGTACTATGTACGATGTATATAAATTTTATCACACTTTTTGTTAGGTCATTGGGTCATGGGTAATATGTTAGACAGGGTGCAGGTTATTTATCACATTCCAATCAAGAATATTTTGTGGTTTTATAATTGTTCAATGTTCACATTTTCATCATCTTATTCTCTGCTCCTTCCAAGTATGGCATGTAGAAGTCTTAATATTTAGATACAGGATTGGTGCTTAAAAATGATAGGTAGTGGGGAGGGGGTAAGGGTTTGTACAAGGAATATCAACTGTAAATAAATGCTCAATTGTTGCTATAAACTTCCACTGTTTCCATATCATAATGGGATGGTTACAATTAACTTAATTGAAACAAAGTTAAATTGAATTAAGGATAAATTGCATGTAAAATAAGTAGTGACTTTTCTGTTTTGATCGCAAAGTTAATGAAAGCAAATTGCAAATCAGAGAATATTTATTTTCAGACTACATAGACCAAAGTGTATGATTACATAACACAATACAATGTGTTATATATTTTAACACTACACCAGTTTGCTATAGGTAACGTTTAATAGGACAATATGATATTGAACAAGTTGCATACAATATAGTGCTGTGACATTAAATGATAACCATATGGTTTGCTATAAGCTCTCTTTTATTATCAGTATCTTTTCACAGATAGCGCGATCTGAAATTTCAAGAGTTTGAAAGCTTTTCCAGAGATCTATAAGAATGTTTACCTTCCAGTTGTTAGAAACATGAAACCATGCTTCCGTTTCTTTAAACATTTTTTTTTTCATTATTTTTTACCTTACCCAATTAAAATAATAACATTTGTTAATAATAGTATTTTCATCATGTAAATGATGAATTTTTACAAGTCCGAAAGTGTCAGTATTTATAAATGTGCTGAACAGCTTTTTAATATTCTTTGCACAGTTTTGGCTTGGTCTGCATTATTTTGGGTAGCATGAGGTGTTACTTTATAGAAATATTTCCCTTCTTGTGTTTCTAATATGTTTAAGTAAACTGTGGGGAGTTATATGTAGTGTTGTTTTTTGTACCAAATGCTCAATTTCGTGTCCCAGTCTGCTTCCCAATGACATGAGCTAGAAGTCTATTTATGTGTCCTGCAATGCACAGTGCAAGGGAAGCTATTCATACACTTTTGAAGAAGAAATAACACATTCTCTAAAAATACATAATAACAATGTGAATGTCTTGTTAAGTTTTAAGAGGTGTATACTGTATACAAATTTCATTTAAAGTAGTCCTATTTCTTGATATGGAATTTGCTAGGTAATTTTTGACTGAAAATATTTGAATTTAAAATGTTTTCCCAGTACAATAATAAAAATGCATTGAAAATGTTACTGTAAACTGCATTCCCGGATGTGATGTTAGGAGACACATGAAGCGCATGTAAGGTTACATCTATGTGACCACCATGTTTGTTACCATTGTTACTGTTCCTTGTTTTATTAACAATGCTGTTTTACTATATTGCACTTTTGTCATTATTTGTTCCTTTGAAGCATTGATATGACACTTTTTTTGCAGGGAAACTGACTTACAGTACATAATTTGACGAGAATTAAAATTCTCTTGACCAGAGTTTGTGTTCTAGTTTTCTTTTACACTTGTTTATTGGGTCACCTGAGATAAAGTCAGACATTGTCCATCTTGTGTTCAGGAACTTTATATATTTTCATTGTTTCATCTGGAAAACTCATTTCAATGAAATTCTGCAAACTTTTCACGGCCAAAATTCAACCGAAGTTGTAAATGATATGGTCTCCACCCTCTTGGGGCCAGGGCTAAAAGGGTCTAAAGGACTGAA